TGAATAGACGGATTGAAGCGCTTGCTAGAGGTGGTTTATGAGGCATTGGGTAGTTGATTGTTGTTGTTTTTTATTCCCTCTCTGCGCTACATCCCTTACGAACAGCGAACATGTTCCTGCGCCATGACCACGTTTGAATGGAGTGACGCAATACCCAGCACGAAAAAGTCACAACCGGGAGGAAAGGAGTCAAATTTGGGCATGGCAGGGCAGCTTTCTTCATGACGAGTGCGCAGTCGGGGGTTGCGGACTGAAGCCCTGTTGTTGTCATTGAAAACGCATTATTTCTTTTTTTTCCCCCTCAAACGTATCTCCGGTTCTACACATATATAAACACACACGAAGACGTGAGTCTAAGGCTCCCCGGTGTGAGGTAGTGATGGAATGAGTGGTTACGGCACGGGGCTGATCCGCCGGCCCCTTGGCCGAGACGGAAAGGGCCAGGTCCAGCTGTATAGGACCTGGTGTTTGTGTGTTATTGCCTATCACGACCACCATGAGACAGATAGAAATGGAGGCAAATATATGTATATTAATAATGACGAATGGTCCTTGAAAAGATTTAGTCCCTGCACGAGGATGACATGGTGCTGTTTGGGGATGTATGTTGGTGCCCCTTGACAGGAGCATTTCTGCACAATGATTGAGGGAACTCTGGAACCGAGACGGGGGTGTGAGTATGCCTCGTAAGCTGCCAGAATAACATAAACACATGTTATCAAGGAGAAATATCACGATAGGGGAACTCAATGAGACGGAGAGGCTTAGGAAGAATGACGCAGATCTGTCCTGGTGGCCTTTGGGGGTTTCCTGCGGTCGTGCTAGGGAAGAAAAAAATGTGACGATCTATGTGGTACCTCGTAAATGTAGGCAGACAATGTGAGGTAGGCAACTAGATCGTGACTCGTTTGGCCAGGTGTCTTATCGTGATGTGATGTTGAGGTTTCATTCAGCTAGGGCATACCAGGTGGCGAGAAGGGAGGAAGGGGGTGGGATTTCCTCCAACGCTGGTAGGCATGTGGTTAAGGTAAGGTAAGGTAAGTCAAACCTACCGATGGGTTTACGACCTTTCTGTCTCTCCCGCAAGGTTGGAAGGGGATCTTGGGATAGATAGGGTGGAGGACTCGAGTCGGACGGGGTGGAGTGGTCGAGGCCTCCTTGGCCTTTGGCCGTTTTGGTGGGGGGGGGAGTGCCTACCTACTCAGAGATACTCCGTACAGACGCCCACACCCTTTCTTCTTCCTCTCACACCCCTCTTGAGTTCCCAAGTACCGGACCCTGAGATCGTTTGGGGGCCGGAAAGCTTGCGCCATGCTGGCTGGTTCTGGGGGGATCTTCTAGGTAACAATGCTGGAGTATAAGGTACGATTGAGAGGTACAAAAGTGACTCGGGATATGTGCCGCATCGTGAAGGGAATGATATTGTTATCTTAGGCAGCAGATATCCAACACCCTTTCGTACTCGGGCATGAGGGAAGTCTTGGAATCGTTGAGGTTGTGCCTTGGGGTCGTCCAAATTTTTAATTTTTTTTGCAATGCGTTCACCGGCTTCCAATGGGCGTTTGACATTGACGGCTACGAGGTGTGAAGTACCCAGGGGACCCCGCGGTTCCGGGAGTTTATCAGATCATGAGGGAAGGACCCGGGATCCTTCATGACTCTGGCTCTGTCAATTTACTTTCATGGTACTCCAGGGGACGGGAAGGAGCCGGGGGTGATTCCACCTATGATTCCGACTCAATGACTTTCACTTCTCTACTTGCAAAATCGACCTTGCTGAGTACTGGCCTGGGGGTCGTGGAGCTCGAGAGACGAAAGGACAGGAAGAGCAAAAGCTTAGGCCATTCCAAGTTCACAAGGTCTCCATGATGCCATGTTTCACGTCCCGTGGTCCCCTTGACTTTCTCTGCTAACCCCTTGACCGCAGAGGAATGAACACGTTGGGAACCCCTACCTTATTCGTACTGCGGCAGGAATTGCGGCGGCACAGCGTCAAAAAGTCATGGGCAAGGGCACGAGAAAAGACCCTGGCGAAGCTGAAAGGTTGCCCCCTGGCTGTGGAGCAAATGCGCGCTTGCGGTGCGGCTGCGGTATTGCATTTCGGGGCCGTTCGGGCGGGTGTTTGGCCGGGGGGTGTACCTTCCAGGTTGTCCTCCCATGGAACAGATGACAGTAGAAAGGAAAGAGAAAAAAAAAAGACCGCACGTCAAGAGCTACTGTACGATGCTGTACGGACACCGACAGCGGACGTGAAGGATGAATCCTGCCGAAACGAATTCATCGGGAGGGAGTCCAGGCTCGCTGGCGGCAAGGCGGCTCCCTTTCTGACGACGATTTGTGGGGGAGAATCGGGAAGCGCACAAGAATGCCTCGTAGGATTCACCACGCCTTTCTCATCGCGTGTGACGAGCGTTCTTGTGTTTTTGGCCCCACGGATCCGCGCGGATGTCAATGATCGGCAAACCGTCAAAGCTTGGACGGTTTGCGAGCGCCGACAAACGATTGCCTGGAGCGGAGAATGGGCTGGCTGGTTCCTTCTCCGAGCGCTTGTTACCTACATAGGCGTGGGGTCCTTGGGCCGAGGTCGAGACCACCCCGTCCAAGATTGAGCCTCACATTTGCCACTCGATAGGACTTTGTCTCGACACATCCGTTACAGGATGAAGGAGTTCGGCATCAACTCCCCTGGGGGTAGGTGGCACTCAATGCTGTCGCTGCATCGAAGTATTCTGGTCGTACGCCAGGACTTGCTGATGAGCTCGGCATATCTTCTCGATCGCCAGGGGCGTGCGGCCGCGGGAAGAGGCCAACGCTGGAACTGAGACATGGGTGCGGGAACAGAGGAAAGCCACGGCACGGTTCGGGGACTTTTCTATTTGGGGGGAGGGCCTTGTGACCACTGACGGCAGTGAGGTTCAACCGTTCGTCGTAAGTCATTTGCTATGTAGTGGATGTGGCACGGGTCAGCCTGACAGGAAACACTAAACAGACCAAGTTAGGACGGCGCGGGAACCGTTGCAGGGAGCACACCGGCCGAGGCACGGATTTGGAAACGGGGTGTGGCTGAGGACGCCTTACTGTGGTTCAGCGCAAGCCGGCGCCAACTTCCAGTCTTCCACTGGCCCTTGTGCTTCAAGTGCGATGTGCAGTCCTGGATCACAATCCATGGCCGCAATGAAGGACAGGACCAGTGGAGAGTAGGGAACAGAGGGAAAGGGTTGTAATTCCTCGTAATGTTTTCTTGATGACACGGCTTAGGGTATCGCCAGGAGAAGCAATGCTGGGGAGCTCCATGCTCGAGACATTCTTCTGGCGGAAGAGAAGCACGGGTTTCCTGGCATAGATTGATGCAGAATGATGCTGATGACGGTTTGGATAGACACGAATTGGGGTAACTCGTAAGACTCACACGATAATGCATTTGTAATGGATGGTGAGCGGAGAGACTTCAGACTGACTAGACAGGCATCCAGGGAGCACGCGTGCATCTTGCTTGTTTGCGTTTCAAGAAGTGAGAAACCTAGGAGAAAATGACGGTATACTCTGAGGTTTGAACGGCACGGCGGCAGTTGAACACGTCGAAGTGTGGACATGTCGAGCAGAATGCCCCACACAAGACCGACGGCGACTCCGGCCAAGACTCGTGGGAGAGACGGGGCGGCGGCGTTGAGCGGTAGATAAAAGTGGACAAGGACTCTTGATCCCACCGTGATGGGAAGAGGCCCTTGTGGTTCAGTCGCGGTGGCTTGCTGACTGCGAGGCTGTGTCGGAGCTAAGTGGACAGGGGCCGTAACTCATCCATGCCGACGACGACGAGGGGTCGATCCCTGGATGACGTCCAGTGGCAGGTCGAGGAGCATCGATGGTTCGCTCACTGCCCAATCGCTTGCACTCCTCGTGAGACAACGAATCCTTGCTCCCAGTGATAATCCCCCACAAAGTGAAGTAGGAACTGGCTCGACGAGGCTGTTGCTATCTTGAAGCAGTCATAGCGGGATAGAGTCATTTGAGGTGCATAGCGATGGCCTGATCTTTTCCCCTGGACTTTGGACTTGCTCGACGATTCTGCAATACGCAGACGCAAAAAGGCTAATTGTCCCGCAGGTTCGGGTATAGAGAAAGTGATATCGTTTAATGTATCATCGCAAGTTGTCGTCCGAGGTGCCGCTGCTAATAGAACAAGGTAGCAACACAACCTGGTCACGCTGGTCCAGCCATGATTGTTGGATGTAGTATTCGTACGGGGACGAGAGATTCAAGAGTGCTCTTCGATTGGCATAACCCCAACCGGCGGGGTTGGCAGCACTGCATCCTCCACCTCTCCGCCCGGTCCCGCAGATGGGCCTCCCCGCCGGGCGTTCGGAGTGGCAAGCCACGGGAAAGATGTGGCATCGGACCGTTCTCCATCGGGCACCGAAAGACGCGCATTCGTGGTTGCGCGGCATTTCAAATGTTGAGGACAATTCGCCCGGGTCGCGACCCTTCACCGGGCGAAGACGTGTCTTGGTGAGCCGGATTTGGTGGCTTTCGGTGAGCGCAGGCTACTCTTGGCGACACTGAAATCTTTGGCAGTTTGGGATGCTCTATGGACTCGAGACTTGAGAGTAATAGCCTAGGTTTAGGGTTACACAAAGGCCTCGTAATAGCTTGGTGTTGGTATCTTATTTCTGGCATTTCGGGGTATGCTCTGCGGTAGGAGGCTGCAGGACTTTGACGCAGGTCTTGTATCGGGCCCGTCTTGCACGAGATGCATCGGCCCCAGTGCGACAGTGGAGTGCCTGTGTTGGTCGTGCATCGAGCACCACAATGCCGTGAATTGCGAGGGATTCGTTGGTCGACTGCCCTGATGCTCCGCCGGATTCAATTGTACGTCCTCATCTTTACGGGTTCCTGGATCTGTCCCCGAAGCGCCTCAATCAACAACCAGTCGAAGGGCCTTCTTCCCAAGCGCTGCCGGTATTAGTTTAGTGATGGGGCGGGGGGGGCGTGTTCGTGTACTCTGTAGTTAAGCGTGCGTTCCACCGAGCCGGACCCTGAACTAAGGCATCGTGTAAGACGGCCATGTTTGACCGCGGACCGTCCTCCGAATCCCGTTCTTCGTTTTAAGCCTGCCGGCCATCACCATTGACTCTTGAGGCCAAATACCGAGATGGTAGATGGTGGGCAGGGCAAGCCGCCAAAAGACAGCCAAGGACAAGAGGTGACGACTGATGGGCGATGCAATGAGACCCGCGTCACAACGAAGCCGGAGTCTTTTCATAGGATATGAAGTTGTGACGCATCGTCTCGGGGTCGCCAGTGACAAATCCTAGTTCAAGTTGCAGCACATGGACGAATTGTAAAAAATGCTGAAATTGGTGCGTTTCTCTCGATTGTGTATGGACGATGGTCATGAATCCCTACCCAGAGGTACGTCGCTAGTGAACCTCCCACGGAAGCGGTCTGTCACCTGAACTGGAGCCGGGGAGGGTACGGAGTACGTATTGAGGGCAGTGGAGAAGAGCACGTGAGGGCCATGCCTACCATTGCCTGCCCGCACCAGTTAAATGGGCCAATTGGAAGGGCTTGGCGGGCGCAAGCTTTCGTAATCAAGCACACGAACTTGCCCTTTTTGGCAAACCTGCATCCCCATGTTCCTTCTTATTGCATCGTCGCTCGCCCAGGTATCCCAGGCAGCACACCCTCACCCCTCTTGCCCGTTTCCATTCCTTACCACTGCTGTGTACGTATTTCCATATGGCAGGTATCCGTACTGGTATTCTTTCTTTCCTGTCCCATCCACCATCCATCCATGAACATTGAACCACGATCCAACCTTCCCAGACCCTGGCGTTCGGACTCAGGCATGTCCCATGCAGCAACCCAGGGCAGCAGCAGTCCTCGGCCCAGACCCCCATGGGCCTCTCTCTCTCTCTTTCTCTCTCTCTACAGAGTCCTAGATTTTGTCTTGTTCTATGATCTCACTCCCATCGGCTTGCTCTGCTTCTGTCTCAACGACCACCGACAACACCACCACGTATCTAAGGATACGCACACATGGCATGACGCAAAATACGTCCGCTGACCTGCGTCCTGGTGCCCGCGTTGACCGACAGCCCTCATCCAAGTTTCTGAGCTCTAGCTGCATTGCTATCGTCAACTGTTCGTCAACGCCGTTGCGGGCTCCCTTAATCTGCCCTAGTATGATACCTACAACACACATCTACGGATATCAACTGTCCACTGGCAAGTGAGTACCTGCAGCCACTCTAGTTGCATACCGATGGCCGATTTCGAAAATCCAGAAGGACTCGGCGAAATGATGCATAGTGAGGCCGATGGTGGTGGTGACCGTGGTGCTACCCTCCATCTACCAGCCTTGCAGAACTTGAAACCAGCAAACCTACCTGTCTTCCGACGGCCAAGGCGATGAACTAAAAGTATTGTCTGCAATCCCTCGCCGTCTTCTCACCAGCCGTGCGTTGACAGGTTCACGGGCCAATACCGGAGCCTTGGACTTGGAGGGAAGGACCCGTCGATCAAAGTCTCAAACATGCCTTTGCATCGGTCGAATGGCAGCTCTTCTCCCTTGAGACTTGCATTGGCCGGTGTACGGGGATTGACGGAAGCCGTTGCATCCAAGACATCCATGGATGGTCAACACTATCGGTACCTTTCAGGCTTTCACCCCCTCTGCTCTGCGGGACTGGGAAATGCTCACCACGACCCGGCCACGTTGACATTCATATCATCCAAGCTCTCTCGCCCATGCATCTTGGAGAACTGGGATCCGCTGCCCCTGGCATCGCATCGCATCTCATTTTCAGCCATCACCAGGGGCCCTGCGATCCAAGAAGGCCGCCCGAGTCTCTCTCACCAGGTGCCCGGGTCTGATCTCGACATGGCCTCCAATGACGGCATGATGCTAAGCGCGTTCGATCTGACCATCCTCCCGATAACTGGGAAGAGCATGGAACCTTCGCATGCAGAAGCTCCCGGCCATGGTCAGCACCAATACCAATTCGGAACGTACTGTGGCCAATAGGCACTACCAAGACAGCCACCAGAGTGCGGTGGAACCTCTGATGGATGGCCTGCATACACCATTGCACAGCCTGATCCCGGTATAATACAGCGAACAGTTGTATACGATCACCTAGCTTGAGCGTCGAGTTACTTGGTCGATAATAACGGCATCTCACCTTACCTCGACGCATGGCTATTCTTTCCTGGCAGTCAGCACGAGTGTCATCCATGCCGACCTCTATCAACATAAGGTACTTACTTGTGCAAAGAAGGTCGCCATTTGCACCTATTATGGTCAAGCTATATTCGGCAATTGGATGGAGACAAATGCTTCCATTTCGGTCTGCTCCATGCGTTGACCCTGGGCCTACTTCGTACCTCAAGGCAGGCTGCGGTTATTGTCCACTCAGGATTCAGCTTGGACGCTCTGAGTGCCAGGGTGACCTCCTTCACCACGATGGAGATCCGAACCGGTCGCTCGCATGCCAGCCCATCACAGCAAAAGATTTGTACGACGTCCATCGGTACCTGACGCGTGGATCAAGTTCCTGGTCTATCGCGCTGCGACCAACTACACTGCATCGTGCCAGAAGGACTTTCCCCCCTGCTTACTTTCGACGATGAACATGGCGGGCCTCAGAGCGCAATCGAAGCCATCGGGCGACAGATCAACACTAGACCTCGGGTCAATCTTGGTGACATGCCGGCGAAATTTGAGGCCAAGTCTCGTCGTACAAAGCAAATGCACTTTCTGTCAGTCGGCAGGGCTTTGCGGTCACCAATGCGTGCATACTTGGAGGACAGATTCTATGGGGCAGCCTGCGAACCTCTGATCGGCATGTTTCTTCTTTTAGCAATGGCAGCCGTACGCTAAGAGGCCAAGCTCCGACCAAGTCGTGCCTGTCCCCCGTTAGCGGGCATGGCAGAGGAGCAATCGAGAATCAAAATACAGAGGGTGATTCGAGATCGAGTTCACTCCTGATCGATTAGGAACCTCGGAAAGGACATCGGTCAACGGAGAGCACGGCACCACCACACCTTATTGCTCCTCATGGAAGGAATTTGCGTGGCGGCGGCACCGGGCAACACAGGACGATCGTCGCATCACAAACGGTTAGGCGTAAAGAACCCGGGCTTCCTCGGTGCACCAACACAGAGTCAGCCCTGCGGTCCAAGACAATGGAGCTATCTTGGGGCCGTTCGTGCCATGCCCTGCCTGGAGCTGGTGCTGGTGCTGATGTCGAAGTCAGTGCCACCAGCCGATAATAGACAATTGGGGGTCTCTATTTCGCCCATTAAGCGCAACCACAGCACGAGGCGGCAGCGGCAATCATGGCTGGATGGGACAAGCAGCATCATCGTCAGCAAGGAAGCGAAGCTACTTTACCTTACATGGTGAGGTGAGTAGGTACCTGGCAGCAGTGCTTGTACTGCAGCAGCCGGCAGCACACGACATACGACATGCGACAACTTAAGCAACATGCGGCGATGCGCATCTGTGTTTCCAGAAATGTTTCTGGGCGCAACGGGAGAGACAGAGATGGCTCACCAACCATGCAACACGACTGCAATTCCATATCGTCTTCCAGAGTACAGCAACCGCACGGAGCCAATTGGGATTCTTCGATTCTTTTCCTTTTCGTACAACCATCCACCCATGCCCGTCCCATTCCATCCCATCGCGCATCAGCCCTGCTGCACCTCATCAACCCAAAGTATGGGGACAGGTCGGCAGTGTCCATTTTGAGAGATGTTTCGATTGGGAAGGATGCTGAAGATGACTCTTTTGACCGACCCCCCGTTCACCCTTACCTCAGGGCTCCCGTCGCCAGTCTCCATCGCAGCCAGCCCCCCCTCCACTTGCGCACACCTACATCTACGAGTACACAGTAAGGTATCCGTAGTCCGTACCTCACCTGGCTAGTCCGCTCAAAGTACACACACCCACCAACACTCTCACCCCCCCCCCCCCCCCCTCCACCCCAGCCCGTTTTCCACCGCTCACCCCTCCCTCTCCGCCTGCTCACCTCTTCGCTCTTCTCGCACTCACTCTTTCTCTTCTCACACCTTTTTACCTGCTGCTGCGCCTTACCAGGCCATGATGGAAAAGGTGCAAGGCACCTTTCCCTGGTCTTGGTCTGCGCCATCAGAACCTATGTCTGCATACCGGTCTAATGCACAAGTTGCAGCCTTAGTCATTGGTCTCACTCAGATGACATCCACCGTCGACTGCCAGAGGTCCCACTGCTGCCTTAGACGGTTCTCTACCAATTGCCTATCCTATAAGGTCGTGATGCCTTCGCTCCTTTCCATTTCCCCATCCCTAGTCTACTCCAGTATAAGTCATCACGAACACACTCACTTGGGTTCCCTTTCCTATTTCCTATTTCTGCCTTGTTCCCCTTGCTTCTCTGCATACCTGGCAGCGTTCAGTCTCTCTGATCAATCAAGTCGATAACCCCCCCAACCAAACAACCAGCAACACACACTTCCTCGAGAGATAAAGTCGTCCACACTCCCAACTCATATCTCAAGGATCAATTCCTCGGTCTTTCACATTATCAACCACTTCAGTCACTTAAAGTACCCCGGAACAACATCCATAATGTGCTATCAAATTGTCGAGCTCTACTCAGCTTGCCGCTGCCTCTACTACCAGCACTCCGTTGACAGATGCGCTTCGTACGGCAGACCAGGACACAGCATCCAAAAGAGAACGATTTTGGTCGGATACGCCTGCCATGCTCACTCTTCGTCACATGGCGGATACGCATCACAATACACATACTCCGACTCTGGTTACCACTCTAGCAATTCAAGCAGGAGCTCCCGCCAGTATCGATGAAATGTCTTGTCTTCGGTGATGGGTTGCTGTTCCTGGCATTCCCCCAAGCTGCTGCTTTTTAAATTCGGCACTTGGGTTGCCTACCTTTACTCCTTTAGAGGAAGGTCGGCTTCTCAAACGCTGCCACCCTCGCAGCTATCTCTCCTCTTCGTCGGCCATGACCGCTTGATGTCTTCATCGGCGCCTCCCGCCGTGCGATGACTCTCCGGCCAATGGCTTACACAGATCCCTCCACTCTGGTCATTGTCCGGCCAACATCAACCAACTACTTTCCGCCATTACGCCTTGCCATGAAGTTCAGCAACGAAGTTATCGAAGACAGAGACGAGATCACGAACATGACGGAAACATTTCACGGCCTATCAATTGTCACCATCAGTGCGCTACAATTAAACGACATCTTCCACCAAGCCCCCGCCCCCTGGTCTCGCTCGAACTTCGAAATCTTCTCGACATTCAATTCTTTCCAACCTTTTTTCCTCTCTTTTCCCATTTCAATTTTGCCCCTTCTTTTTGATAGATGTGGTTTCCTTCCCTTTCGGCATTGAGCTCGCATAGCGTTGGGTTTGGGTTTTTTTCTGCATTGGGCGGTTGGGATGAACACATGCATACAAGAGATGCCTAACTTCTAATGGGCTGGATCTCATCTTCTCTGCCTCACAGGGCATCATTTTGGGTTTACACTTTGGGTTTCAAGAGAGGGACTTGTCTTCAAAGTCGGCGGCGGGGAGGTTCGATTCTACAGGCATTCGGCAACGGTCTCATTTCCAACTTGTGTAGTTTACGGACAAGTTTCGATGCATTGGGTTGGCGAGCGGGCGGAAGGATACCAGGCGTTCAGGTTTCGGAAACATACAAGCGCGCATCGCTGCGCATGCGATGGGTTGATGGGATATTTAGGGTGAGCGAGGTTTTTTTATTGTTGCATTTCTTTTTTCCGTTTCTCTGCTTTTCAATGTTGCATACCAGAGTTGTTTCTTTTTCTCAAAATCTCTCTACTTACTCTTCTTCTGTTTCTTTACCAAGATCTCTCTCTCTCTCTCTTGCTTTCTTCTCTCACATTGATCTGTACCATCATCCGATGATAGACGAGCTGCTCTGAGAGCAGCGGGGAAAACAGAAGCGACGGGGTGTCTACAGCAGAGGACACACACACGAATGGGCAACTGGTATGCCCGCAACGAGGAGAAAGAGCGCCACGACGCCTGAAACCTCAAAACATGAGTTGATGCCAGACATCATATTCGCTTCTTCGAGACTCGACCATTAGCATTTCTCATTTAGGGAATCTTCTTGTACTGCCAACCATACACGGCTGTCTGGAACTTCCGAGGTGGTAAAAAAAAAACCACAGTATAGAAATTTACCCTGCAGGAATTGAGCTGGTTTGCAATTGGAGGCAAAACACAAGCTTGCTTGTGTCTGGCCCAGAGAATCATGTATTAAGAGAGAACACATTATAGACACTTTGGGAAGAAATTCCACAAGATCAAATTTCTGGACACCTTCTCGCTTGTCCATTGAAAGTGACGCGCAACGGTTAGCAATGATATCGGAGGTGGCAAATAATGGCTTTCCGCAGTGTAACTCGTAAGGTAGCTCGAGGGGTTGTGAGTCAAGATCCTGCAAAGTTAGGCAGATTCGAGGCCATGTTACCCCAGAAAAGGCCCCAATGAGAGGCGCCATGGGAAAGTGGGTTAGCGACGTTGCAACCTAGAAAAGTATTTGCGGACTTTTGCGTGTTCTACGTTGTTGCTTTGCACTTTACTGAAACAGGAATCATCTTTCGATCAAGTACCTAGGTGGATGTATTCCACAGACAAATAAAAGAAGACGACGGATTTCGAAAGGATTCTTCTTCCAAGGGAAATGCTCGGGTACAAGAAGGTCATGTCATACAGTACCCTGCCCTCACCGTGGGGAACTTTATTTTGAGGAGGATTTCCCTCGGCCGTGTCGGCTGCTCCCTCCTCGGTGTGTGCGGTAGGTATGGTAGGTATGGGCTGGCGGACGGGCGAAGGAACAGGCAGGCATCAGCACTCAGTATCTGTAGGGGAGGGCCGTTTGGCGCGCTGCCCGTCTCTTACACGCCATTGGCTGAACAGAGGGTTGGGGGCCGTGACCAGCCTCGTTTGGATGCCGAGACTCAGCCTCGCGATTGGGGGTGTGCGATGCTGAGGGGGGTTAAGAGGGAGAGTGTGCGTAAGGTAAATGGGTAGGATGAGATACGGGGGATGCAAAAGAGTTGAGTTCCTTTTCCGCGGTGGTTGTGGTTCAAGGTGCTGACAGGATATCGGGGGGGGGGGCTGCTTTCTTTCCCGGACGCACGGAGGAGAAAGGAGTGCTGCGGGAGGCCTTTACATGGCTCCATGGCTTCATAGGAATTTTGGGTGGTGGTAGTGGTGGGGGGTGTTTTGGGAAACGTGAAAACACTACGGGAAGGACATGGGTAGGTGCCAAGGGGGGATGCAAATGGGTACTGTGTAGTTGCGATTTCCACACGCCGGGACTGTAGAAAAAAGAACAGGTTCTGAGACAGTGGTGAAGATGTGGTGGGTTGGTGAGTGGAAAAGACTCCCGGTGAGATGGGTTGATGCAGTGTTTAGCGGAAGGGGGGGGTGTATTGTGTTCTGTTGTCCGAATGGGGGAAATGGAGTGCAAGAGACGTACGGAGTATGCATGGATAGATTGGACTTTTGTCAGATCTGTTCATGGACTGCTGTGAGGTGTATGGATATGGATTACAGAGTACGAGGATGAGGAGACCCTTCCTTGGAGTTGACGGGTACCTAGAAAGAAAGCCTTGCGCCAAGAAGAGCGTGTGAGTTGAGATAAAATGGAACCTATCCGGGAACGTACCTGGGTACCTAGATGCGGCGGATGGTGGGGTTTCCCTTGGGAGAGCATGTCTTTAGGTATGGTCCCAATTGAAAGGGCCTGGGAAAACGGGAACGGGAAAGTCAGGTACCTACACTGGCATGGGGAGCGATGTGCCGGTCCAAGTCAGGAGCAACAGAAAGAAACAGAGCAAAAGCGTGGGAGGTTCCGTTCTAAAAATAGATTTATTTTTAGACGTGCGGAGAGAGACAGACAGACAGACGGAAGAGGGAGAATTGAATTAAACAGACGAACCGCAACGAACGGGTGGTGGGGAGTGGGGGAAATGGACGACTGATGAGCAAGCCCAACAAGCGAGCTTGCGCGCGCGGCGCCCGTCGCGGCAGATGGGCCAGGGTGGGTGGGTACCAAGGGCATGGGCATGGGCGTGAGGCGCCGAAATAAGCGAAGTTCCGCGCTTGTTGGGGGAATAGCCGCAATTGAGTGGGTTGCTGGTGTGACAGGTGAGCCGGCGTGGGTTTTTGAGGGGGGATCTATCTAGGAAGTTAGTATAGCGTGAGTGAGGTGACGGGTCACGGAAGTGTGTGTTGTGGGGTCTAAAAATGAACATCTTACGGACATGGGGAGCACATGGGATTGACATCCCGAAGTTGGGGATATGAAAACAATGTCTTGATGGATTACGCATGTCTTTTTGGGACTTTTCTGGGTTCTGCATGGGACTTTTTTCGCGGCTTCTTTCTCTTGGTGAGTGTAATGTAGCGTATATGAGTGACTGTGGGTGTGTGTGGGCTGCATGTGTTTCTTTTTTGGACCGTGTCTTTGGAGAAAATGTAACGGTAAGCATACATGATACAAGTGAGGGAGGGATGAAGTGAGCGCTTAGTGGTGGGGTCTGCCGCTTGCCGCTACCGCGCTTGGTGTGAGGCATGAGGTGGTGTGTGTTACAGTAAGATGCCAAAAATTGTCTGCAGTGAAGAATGCGCAGGCTTGGGGAGGGAGGGGGGGGGGGATGATGATGTGTGGGTGGTGATGTGATGCTCGCACTTGTGCCTGTGTATGCACGTCTCTGTATGTAAGTGTGTAAGTGTGGGTGGGTAGGTGGGTTTGGAGGGTGATGACTGAGAGTTGACTGGATGGAACCATACACCAAGACAATCCATAAAGGAGGGTCGAGTAAGATTCTCATGAAATTGCTTAGACGACAGGCGCGGGGAGGCGCAAGCGGAAGGGGGGAGAGACTCGACACGTGCCGTAGACACGTACATACTTGTGGATGCATAAGCGCAAGCGCTTTGGATTCTTGCAGGTGTGTGTGTCGCGGTGTGAAGTATCTGGTCAATCTAGACGGGCTTAACGCTAGGGCTTTGAGTCTTGGTTCTGGTGGTTGCAGCGCAGCGCATGGTTCACAATTGGTGAGATGCGAGATTTCCCAGATGTGAGGTGCTGAGATGAGGTCACCCAAGTGGAGATACCTCTCCTACCCCCTGTCACACCGCCTTGGCTTTGTCCTTGCATTCGACTCTCGTGTACGGAGTACTTCTTGAGAAGTACAAGTTCGACGTATTTGTTGTTGAAAGTATGGACTCGAGGGAATTGTTTTCCAGGCATCAATTCGATATGACGAGAAAACCCAAGGATGTGTCCGTACGCAACTGTCTAAAGACACGCCTTATCGTTTGAAGTTCAAGACCTGGGCGCAGTCGTCAGTACGGCGTACGAAGGGTGGTAGTGGGGTTGAGACATCAGACATGACAGCTGCCCGCTGTGCAGATCGTCCAAAGATTTCCAAAATTTCAAATTTAGATAATGAAGACTCGATCAACAGGGGAAAAGAAACGACATTTGGTCGTATTTTCTGCCCAAACGCCAAGGGGATCCCTGTCCTGTTCGTCTGAAGAAGCAACTTCTCATCTGAACTTTGCTCCATTTGAAAGAGGATACCCCGGTAAATGGGATGCCTCCTCACCTGAAAATCGTGGGACTAAGGAACACGCACACTTTGATTTCGTGATGTTTGCGATTCATTCCTCGTTACCTACCTTATACATGGTTTGAGCTTCCGTCTCAATCTTCATTTGGTGGTTGGAAAGCAGAGAGGGGAACGTGCGGCAGGATTCTCGGCATATTTGCGATTTATGATGACCAACGGCGTGTCGAGGAAACGAAAGACAACGTGCATCGCAGGAAGGATTTGTTGAAATCGAGATATCGGCTTCGGGAGGTCCTGAAGGAAGGAAGTTTGGCGTCGGGCAAGGGGTGGCCCGAGGGGTGGGGTTCGTACCGCGGCCGAGGCCTCGCCCGGGCCAGGATGCGGCCTCAAGTATCCGTACCGATGGCGGATGCAACCTTGTTGGCGCATGGTACCTTGTCCGTAGGGAGAGAGAGGTAGGTCGCAGAAGGATTCGAGGCAAACGATCTTCATGCAAGCATGCAAACAGAACGTACGGGTGACTGGACACGAATTAGACTAGCAGCACCAATATACAGCTCCTTAATGTGATGAGAAGCGATACATTGATGTGCAATTGTGGCGGGAACCGCAATACAACAGATCCTGCCGGGCAGAATCAATGCTTGGCTCTCTTCTTCGAGGGCTGTCCGTACTCGCGTGATCCTTTGCTTCAGCCCGGCCAGGGTGCTTGGGTGAGGAGTCGCGGGTCGCGGATGCGGACGGAACGGCAGGCAGCTGCTGTGAGGTTCTTTTTGATCCTGCGACCGTGATATTCGGCCCATCGTGACATACCTCAAGGTAGTAAGGTAAGGAGGCGTATAAGGGGTGGTGTGTCGCTTGTTTGATGGGTGCCGTGCCGTGGGATGATTGTCAAGCGCGGAAGACTACGTCGTACTCGAAAACTTGGAAATGGTGCATATCTAGGATTCTCTTCGCTCGCGACCTGCCTCACCTTAGTTGCAGGATTCCTATTTTGGGGGCTGCAGAATTGCCTAGATTTTGACATGCCGCCGCCGGTGACCGGTGAGAGAAACAGAGTGAGCGACTTTACCAAAGAGAGGCAAAGGGAATCCCGGGTTGAGTGGGATGCTGTTCCATGGTTTTGGGAGGATGGTGCGAACCAGCCGACCAGGCGGTACGAAGTGATGGAAGGAACAAAAAAAGTGCCAGGCGGGTATGCATAGGCGTCCGCGGCTTTCGAGGTCCTGTGCCCGGCCGACCGGTTAGCGGGCCTCGGTGTGCCAAAATGGGGGATCCGTGTCTTGGAGGGAGTCGTCGAAAGGGTGACATAGTGCCCATGCCTCCATTCTATGCAGGCACTTCCACCTGGTTTGTGTAGGTCATTGTCCAATGCTCGTGAGGCATGCAAGACACACTACTTTGTGCCTGGGTAGACTTGCAGACCTTTGGAGACACACAGATCCGGTGTGGGAAAGCATGGCACTTCTGTCTCAATTCCTCAACGTCGCCCGGTACGAGTACCTACCTACCTTGGTCAGAGGCTGATATTCGCGGAACTTTTGAAGGGGGAAGCTGGGCTGCGCTGAGCTGCTGCTGTCCCAGACGCGAGGGACTTCTAAATCCGGCGAGCCGGGGATGCGCGCAAGTAATCGGTTTTGAGGTCGGTGGGGCTGGATCTTCGATTACTGGGTTGCTCACATCGTGGCTATCTTGATTCGCAGCGGTTGTCGCCTGGGGCCTGGTTCCTGAAGATGATACCTCAAAACGGCGAGATGATACCAGAAGCTTCTCACTGCATTTCGGTTGGCGGGCTGGGTAGGGCAAGTGTGTGAGGTGCCTGTCGGTCGTTGCCTGGAAGAGCGTGTGCCATAGAGCACGAAAGCTCGGAGATCGTCGCTGGCAATAATCAGCTGAGGAGTTACACCGGCTGGGTGGGACGGCCTTGCGCCCCCCTGGGCCACTGGGCTTGGTCTCGGTATTGGGTGCTCTAGCTTGTTGGATTGGACTGAGGGACTGTCCACGGCTCTTTGCGATAGAAGGATGCCCAGAGATGACGGCGAGGGGGTGTGTAATTCTTCGAGATTTAGGATAGTGATGTGAGATGTGGCTGCGCGGTGAGGCTGGTGATGGGCGTGTGCGAGTGAGATTGAGGCTCAGTTCCTCATACGATGCTATCCGTAGTAGTTGGCCCTGTCGGCTGTTGGAGGATCTCCTCGATGCGTAGGTGTGTGATCAGAGCAGGGGGGACTTGAGAGGCGCAATTGCTCTGTAAATGTAGAACGATCTGAACTTGACGGGAGCGCCACAGACAGTGGCGGATGCGGATCGGAGGAGTCGGCAAGGTCTGCCGTCCTCTCGCGGGGACGGTGGCGGTAGGATTCGGTAGGATTTTGGGGGCGTTCGGGGGCGTTCGGGGACTTGGAGTCTAGAACGAGTTGATGGTGATCGGGGAAGATGGTGTCTGCGGTTGAATGAGGTTACTGGGCTGTCTGTGGTAAAAGAGTTGACACTGCGAAGAAACAATTCACGGCATCTTTCCTGATTTTCCTGATTTGTTATCGAAATTTGTCGAGCAAGGTACAAAAAAGCAAAGCATGAACGCATGGGAAGGTAGAGGGATGCAAGGTAATTACCTGTGGTACCTTCCATTAGCTACCTAAGGCAAGACAAGACGGGTAAGGAACAGATGGAAGTAACCTGACTGATACTTTCCATCAAGAGATGCGATGAATTCGTCCAGACGAGAAAGAATAGGCAGGCACTATTGCAGCGGCTCCTATAGCGGCACGAAGCCCTGGAAGGCGCTGAAATCCATCCAGTCTTTCCCCATAGGAGCCCCTCCGGCGGCAAAAACCGGTGGCTCTCTCCATCCACGGGCCATAGCGGGACCCATTACGGAGGACATCCGGTCGCGTTCGCGTCGCGCCCTGCGTTCCGCCCCTCGTCCCGCAACTTCACTTTCCAACTTCGGAGATGCTGAACCTCCACCTCGGCGACACCACCACCGCACCACCGCACCGTCGACCCCGTCCGCCACAACCCAAGCTGTCAGCAACTCTTTTCTTTTTCATTAGGACCTCATTACCCTTCAAAAAGAAAAGGCCAGCCGCGAACAGAGACGAGATGCCCACTCCCTCTGGTTCTCTGCACTAGCTGGCCTACCCCCCGACCTTTTGTCTCCTCAGACGAGCGTTTGCTTCATAAAGTTCTCTTCCCCTCAGTGAGTGCCAGATATAACCAGTACCACGTGACCTCAAGTCGACGATAACCAAGCCCCTTTCTACAAAGAGGAAGACTCAAAATCTGGCTAGATCTTCTTGCCTCATTCAACAAAAGCAAAAAGATATATAAGTGTACAAAACTGACCAGTCGTCTCAATGGATCCCTTCGCGCAGACCACAGTCTTTTACATCCACGTCATCAAAAAGGTATGGCGCCGCCTGGACAACTCCCTCGCGTCCGCTCGGCGGAGGCGTCAATCGAGAAGGGCCGCGCAGCCTACGCGGACCAGCGCTTCCGCGTCGCACTCGAGCACTTCACCCTCGTCGCCGGGAACTGCCCATGTTCGTCACCCTCGGGAGGAGGGCCCGCCGCCTCCTCTGGTGGAGGCCCAGGAAGTAGTTCCGGTGGTCGTGCTTCTCGAGGTCTCAAAGGGCTCGGGGCCGCAAGTTCTGGAGGTGGTGGAGGTACAGGTCATGACGGCGGAGACGGCAACGGCAACAGTCCCGCGCAGCAGCGCCGCCGGCGAGAAAGGTGTACGTGCCGCGACTTTGCTGAAGCGGCGGCCCGGCACCGCCGCGAGAGGGGCAGCGTCTACGCGGAGGCCACCAAGGAGTGCAAGTGCGGCGCAGAGAAGACGTGGGGCCGGTGCCACCGCGAGGGCCACGTCCAGGCGCTCGACTACCGGGCTGCGTGCTTTGAGAAGATGGGAAAGCTGGATATGGCGCGCAGGGATGCGGAGTGGCTGTTAGAAATTGCGCCGCGGCGTTTGGAGGTGAGTCTTGACTCTGTTGCTTGGTTTTGGGGGTTGATTGTGCGTTTTGTCGCTACTTACCAACTTTGTGTGCTTGTCTTGCTTTTGTGCCGGTTTTCATGTGAATAACGGGTTTTCAGGGGTACATGAGGCTGGGGAAGATATACAAGTTGGAGAAGAAACACGAGATGGCGTGGGCTGCGTGGAGTGCCGGTATCGAGGTTGGACAAAGGGAAGGCCTCACCAGAACTACCAAGTATGAGGTACGCGGCATCTACTTAAATGCGCTGTTGTTGGGATGTGCGCTGATCTAGACTCTTGCAGCAACTTCGCAAGATTCGCGAACCACTACACAAACACTTTTGTCGGAGAGACCCTATGGAATTACCAATCGAGTTGATTGAAAAGATCTTTTCCTACTTTGATTTTCACGAGTTATGGTGAGCTCAACGAACCCCATTCCAATTCCTTTGACCACTACCCGTCCTCCTGGCTTCGTTGCTGACATGTAATACCAGCCGAATATCGGGAGTCTGTAAACGATGGGACCAGTTCCTTGACACCCACCCCTACATCTGGAGACAAGTCCATTTTCCTTCACTCAACTCGCAAAAGCCACCAAGAGTCTCCTTCCTCAAGACGTTACGGAAGCGGACCGGCGGCGGCGCCCGCAGCCTCATCATCCCCAACGCCCACGCCTTCCAGCTCAACGAGTCAAAATGGCTGTCGCTCATCCAGACGACGAATCCGCGCATGACCACGCGGCTCGAGATCGGTGCCATCAAGCGGAACCCTGAAGACGGCGACTGGGGCTACAAGCTGCCTCCTAAGCCGCTGTTCTTCGAAGGGCTCACGCACCTGGGCTTCAGCTTCCGTGTCGACAAACCGAATTACCAAAGCAGCGGCGGCGCCCAGCCCTTTGTGAGGCAGTTTGTCGAACGTGCCCGGGAGAATATCGAGAGGATATCGCTCTTCAGCATGCACCTAAATGACCTAGGCTGGCCAGAGCTGCCCCGGCTCAAGGTTCTTCAGTTAACCGGTCCGCTGAGCTCGACACTAAACCAGCTGACCCCTGAGCGCCGAATTGACCCCGTAAGTTGTGTCTTCTCTTCCGTCTACTTCCCCTATTATTTGGTTCTCGCAACCTTGGAGTATCCACGCGGGTACCAGATGTGCTGACCAGAACCCTCAGTTCGCCCTCGCCCGCTCAACACCAAAACTAGAGCAAATACACCTGGACAACTTTGGCGTCTTTACCGGCCTAGATTCACTCACCCCGCCAGAAGACTGCTGGTCCCTCTGGCCGGGCCTCCAGGTAATCAAGCTCGGCAAAGCCTGCGGCGCCCTCTCCATGGGCGACAAACGCCACTTTCCGCCGCTACACCCCTCCTCCTTCCGCGTCCTCGACGCCCGCGCAGCCCTCCAGTCCAACCACGGCGACTGGCTGCCTCAGCAGCTGCCCCTCGACTACTCGGGCTACGAGGCCGCCGAGTCCCTCGTCACCTACCCCAACCTCGAGCGCTTCTGGATGCCGAAACTGCCGCTGAGCGTCGACCTCGCCACCGTCCTCCTCGAGCCCGCCGTCCGCTCCGGCAGACTGCGCGAGCTCGGTCTCTGCTGGCGCCAGGAACCGGGCCAGTTCTTCCCCGGCGCGCTCGACTGGTTACGCGGCAGCGCCTCCGTCCGCACATTTGGCTTCTTCAATTTCGATTTCGAGTCGCACGAGAACCTGACGCGGGACCCGGCGCAGAGGGGCCTCGGCATCGACTCGGTCGATCTCCTCTTTGGGTTCCTCCAGTCGTTTCCGAACCTCGAGGTCCTCGAGCTGCACTCGGACCTGTGCGACCCGCTGCGCCTGGGGGCCATCATCGAACGCGTCGCCATACTCGGCAGGCTGAAGAAGGTGTACCAGCGCGCGCTGACGGGTGTGGCGATGGACCAGCTGAGGACGTTTTGCGGCGCTCACGGGGTTGAGGTCGTATATGGTGGCTGGGAAGCCGAGTTCCCCGTGCCGCTGGAACCCTTGGCTCCCGTGGAAGCCGAGATTAGTGAGTGAAAGCGGGAAGGTAGAGGTAGCTTTTGACGAGCAGCAACGGGGACAAGAAACTTCAGACAATTGCTATTGGTTCTCTTTTGTCAGGATTGCGGTTGTGTTGTGTAGGTCTCATAGCATTAGGCGTAATTGCTTGGGTATATAAACTTGTTGCTTGCTGTCTGTGAAAAACAAGGGGCAAATTTCTACATCATCTTTTCCTTGACGAATATGAATAGTTTACATGGCATAGAATCGCTCGCGGGAAACATGACATACGGCAGAATCAAAATCACAAAGATACTAGAAAAAAGTGAACAAGAAAAATGGTGAATTAGTTGAGTAGGCTGATTCAAAGCTCCTCGCTACTGAAAAACAGGCGCCACACGCATGGGCTGATGTGATGTTGTGACGCGGGAAATTTGGGCGTGTGTCTGACTGACAATACTATGACAATGACCAAAGAGCATCACGGATATATAGAAAAGGTCAAACAGAAAAAACAAGACGATTCATCCTCTCCTCCCACTCCTGCCCCTGCCCTAAGCCCCGAGCCGGCCTCTTTATATTTACGAGGCTTACACAGGCCCCTTTGTTCCCCCCCTTTTCTCAAACGCCGTTGGATATTCCCCCCTTTCCCCTCGAAAAGACAGCTCGGTTTTTTTCCTCCCAAAGAAAAAAGTAAAGGAGAGTTGTTGACTAGTTATATTATATAGTGATTGTAATTTGCGAAAAAAGGGAGGACCTTTTTTCGCTTTTAATGTTTTGCTCACAAAGTTTGAAAGAATGTGAATCGTGTGGTATCTCACGACCGAACGGGTGACGGTGGGACAGCAACGTTGCCAGAGATGAGACTCTCCATCTCCCACGGGCTAAGCGTGCTCCGCCTCCTCGAGGCGACTTTGCTCACGCGCCTTTCGCGCTTGCGTTTCGTCGGTTGGAGGGGTGATTGCTGAACCTGCTCGTCTTGCGAGGGAATGTCGCGCTTGATCGGGTCGAGGTCTCCTCGGTCTACGCGTGTCTTTGCTGGGGAGGGGGAGTCTACGGGTTGAGGTTCTTGTGGCATGGCGACGATGGTCTCTGGTGGGGGTGGAGGCATATGTTGTTGCTGCTGCTGCTGAGGTGCTGCCATTGGCTTGCCGAGCGCACCTCCGCGGGCTGCCTTGAGCTTCGCGCGAACACGAGCGGCATCGGCCTCACGCTCCGAAGCTGCTAGCTTGGCTGCGATGGTTGCCATCGTCAGAGGGCTCTGCTGTGGTGGCGGGTCCGAGGGCCGCGGGAGGGGCAGACGGGAGGGAACGCGGCGTAGAGGAGTACGGTGCGGTGTTGCGTTCTTGTTGTTGTTGCTGGTGGGCTGGACGGCGGGAGCAGGGGGCGCGCCTTCGCAACTCTCCTGGCTCGTCTGGCTTTCTTGGCTCTCCTGGGAGACTGTACGGATGTTCTTAACGGGAGATTGAATTTCCCTCGGTGCTGGGACCGCTGGTGACGGTGCTGCAGGGGCAGCTGATACGAGACGCGGCGGCTTGGGGAGTTTACGTGCCGTAGGCGTTTGGTTTACTTCTGGGGGCGGGGTTCCGGATGGTGTGATGAGGGGTGCGCCGTTATGTGTCGACTCGGAGGCGATGGATGCTGCGGATGTTGTGCGAGAGCGGTCGTCGACTGGGTGAACCGTCTTCTGCGGCGATCGTGGAAGTTGAACGAGGTGTGGTGGTGGCTTCGGGGCGACGTCGACGGCGCGGATCGTCCTGAGCTTCTCGTTGGCCGTCGTGTCGTAATCGCTGCGAATATCGCGCCTTGGCCTCGCGTCGCGGTTACCCGCAGACGGCATCTCGCGGAGCGGGCTCATCTGAGGCGGGGGCGGTAGAGGAGGCGAGCTGAGGTAGGCGGTGGATTGTTGGAGAATCTGGACATTGGGCTCCTCAATATCGAGTTCCTCAACATCGACGTCCTCAAAGATACTTGACTCATAGTCGCTCTGCTGATCGTCCTGGTTGTAGTCTTCTTCTCGAGGAGCGGCCTCGTACTCTGCCGGTGCGGGAACAAGATGGAGGGACTCGACCCTTTGTGGAGCAGGGCACGGAGACTCGGGCAAATCGTCGTAATCAATTTCCTCCTCCTCCTCTTCCTCTCCTTCCTCTTCCAAGTCGGCAGTGCACTCTTCTTGCACACAAGACAGCTCATGCATGTCCATGCCGCCCTGGTGGGTCTCCTCAACATTGCGAACGCGCACAGGACTAAGACGGAGGCCCATCTTGAGTTCTTCCATATTCACCGACTTGCCATCGGCAACCATGCGCCGACGCCAACCGTCTATGAGGTGGACAGCCTCTTGCCAGCGGTTCTCCATCTTGACCCAGCCCGCACGCAGACGTGCAATCTCCTCTTCACGGACCTCGACCTCCTCGATAGGGGCGAACGAGGGGTTCGTCAAGATAGAGCGCAGATGCTCAAGGATGGCGTCAAGCTCATTTGCCATGTCCTCGGCCGTGGGCAGCGTGACAGCATGGCCATCGCCCTGGCTTGTTCTGACATCACAGCCACTCATCTCGCGCAAATTCTTTGTCGTTCGACGGACCAGATTCAGGAGGGACTCGTTCTCTTCGCCAAGGTTCCGCGCAAGGTCTGTCAGGAACTCGTTCGTCTCGCTGCGCAGGTCGTAACCTGAATCCTCTGTGGCCGCGGCGGCTTTGCCTCCGCGCTTCGGTGATACTTTGTCTTCGCCCTCGCCGGCGACAACGCTAATAACGGTAACGGCGGAGCTCTTTGCAGTGCCGCGGGGACGGCCGGCTTCACCCAGTTGCTTCTTCAGGCCATCGATCTGACGGTCCCGGCGTCGGACCTCCGTTGCGCAGGAGGCCCGCGTCTGAGCTACCAGAGTCTTGGCGCGAGCGACCTCGTCCTTGAGGCCGCGTACAGCGGCGTCGGCAGACTTGAGCTGGGTGCGCAAGGTGTTTTCGGTGGCCTCGCTGATGTCGAGCTTTCTTTGAGCCTCGGTGTGTTTCTCCGAGAGGCGTGCGATGTCGTTTGTGTACCGCAGGTTCTCGGCGCGGACGGTGCGCATGGTGGTCGATAGGTTCTCGCGTTGTTCGGCGTCGCGCTTCAGGAAGAAAACAAAACATCTCAGTACGGGGGGTTCTTCCTCTTTTTCTTTCTACAATACATAGCAGGGGAATAAGGGCAAACGCACGTCTCGGCGCAAGATCAAATCATTGACGATGCTCATGATCTTGCCCATGGTGGCCTCCGCGCCGCCCGAACTATCGTCCGGGTCGGCAAAGTTGATTGTTTGGCCATCGCGTAAGAGTCCTCGCGAGAGCAATTGGTTGTTGATATACAGCGACGCCGTACGCAAGTTATCGTTTTCCGCCATCGTGGTAGACGTGTTTGTCGCGGGCGAGACGATCGCACTGCGAGTAGTGCTTGTTGAGGGCAATCTCTCTTGGTCAGCACATGCGGAGGAATGTGGTTCTTGAGAGGCTCGAAAAGCTTGTGACTGAAGATCTCCAGAAGAATAAAAAGTGTGTCATCAGAATGAAATGAGCTATCGTGTTGGTGTGTTGTGGTAGTGCCAGGTACGGAGCTTATGCAGGAGAGTGACGGCCCTTGTGTGTGTGTACTCAGTACTATGTATGTGGTGCGCTGCTCTGCTCGCTGTGTGTATTTTGGCCCTGTGGTTGCCATGTCACCCCCACCTCGCAAAGTAAACAAAAAATTGGCCAACTCACAACGTCACATGGGTCCGTGGCCCGACCCTGCGGCGCTAAACCAACAGCTGCCTAGCGCCATTCTTATAATTCATGCGATATTTGCCCGAGTCACATCTCACAGCTTCCCATCACACTCAAAAGTTTCATTATATTGCTTCTTTCTCAGCCTGCAGCCTGGGAAACAACTCTGTTTTCTCTCGTCTACGGATACCGACATGGCTTATGATCCCACGGCACTTGGCCAGTCGGCAGAGCCCCTCGTACACGATGTCTCTGGCGAGATATGGCATCCCTTGTTCCAGCAGGAGTGCGCCTTTGGGCCCGAAATCTTTGAGGATGTCATGATGAATCTCATCAAGAACCCAAACATCAACTCGTCATGGCTCTTCCGCGCTGATATCCTACACGATTCGGACCCGGGATGGACACCTCCCCCTCCCCCCGCACCTGAAGCCGCCTCGGAAGATGGCGCCGCCGCACAAGTTGTGCAGCAGCAGCAGCAGCAGCCTCTTCCCATTGCTTTTCAGGATTTCCACAACGACCGCGTCTTCGTGCGCAGGCTGATCCCGCGCAATACCCGCCGGGACGATCCCCTGGACCAGACGTGCGTCTTCGCCTCCTGTACCCCAGATGCCGCAAAGGCCAGGTCCCTGGTCGTCTACCTTCCCCACGCGTCCTCGCCCGACGCCCTCCCCTTCTACCACCCCAAGGTCCGGGGCGTAGCGCACCTCCACGAGTGGGACGCTGCGCGCGCCGTCGGCACCGTCTCCATCCACTACCTCTTCTTTGACGAGGCCGACTTCGCCGTCGAGAAGCTAGTCCGCACCGCTCGTATGCTGCTCTCCGTGCTGTACAAGCACGGCCAGGGGCGGGTCGGCGGGTACACCAAGCGGGTGCACCACGACGTTGTAATTCCCCAGGCCAGGTTCCAGAACCGCTATATGGAGCTCAAGCTCAAGTATGCCAAGGACCTGGTGGAAACCTGGGCCGAGACGACGGACCCGTCGAAGCACGTCTTTGAGGATCTGGGCATTGCTGCTTTTCTGATCGAGCTCTGGGCAGAAATGTACAAGGACCAGCCGTTCCCCGGATTCGTAGATATTGGCTGCGGCAACGGATTGTTAGTTCATCTGTTGATTAGAGAGGGATACTCTGGCTGGGGCTTCGATGCCAGAGCGAGGAAGTCATGGGCCAAGTACAATTCTGTCCAAGATGGGCGGGACTCGCTGCAGGCCCTGGTTCTCCTCCCCGACATTGTCTCCAGGCCGTCTTACGCCGATAGCGAGGAGGTACCTACCTTGGATCTGACAAAAATACATAGCGGCACTTTCCCCAAAGGCACCTTCATCGTGTCTAATCACGCAGATGAACTTACACCTTGGACACCGATCCTCGCGACGCTGTCGGAGAGTCCCTTCATCATGATTCCCTGCTGCAGCCATGCCCTGGGCGGACAAAAATTCCGCCCGAAGCCGCCGCGCGATAAGACCAAGTCGCAGTCAACGTATGCTTCATTGGTCGACTGGGCGGCGCAGATCGCCGAGGACTGCGGATGGGTCGTGGAGACGGAGATGTTACGTATTCCGAGCACGCGGAATACGGCCATGCTCGGGAGGAGGCGGACGCGGGGCGTGGAGGAAGTGGACATCGACGGGGTCTTGGCCAAGTACGGTGGCACGGATGGGTACTTTGAGAGTGCGGCCAAGTTGACCAAGACTGAAAAGGGGCACTAGGCAGAGCGATGTCAGATATCTTGGTCCAGGAATCTGAGACAGACGCATGGGTGCTATAGACATTGCAAAGACATGGATAGAGAGAGGGGAGTCCAAATATAAATCGAAGATAGGTCCTGACTGGCACTGATCAGCGCAAAATCGATAACTAGATCACCTAGACTTATGATACACGTCGGATGAACGCAAGCGTCTCGCAGCGTGGTGTTAACTGCCCTATTGATGGATCCTCTTGCAATCCCTACAGAGCATACAATTTGATGATGTTGATGATATAATGACACCTAGCTTAATCCTTCCAACAAGAGCAAACCCTCATGTTCCATTCAAATCGACCCAATCAGCTCCTGAATCCTCTTCCTCGCAGCCTCTCTCACCTCTGTAACCACCACCCCAGCCGGCTTGATCTCATCAATAAGCCCAAGCCCAGCACCAGCCCACTTCCCAATCATCTTCTTCCCTTCCTCCTCACTCCACCCCGTCCGCAACCTCTCCCGACTCTCCTCCACCGTCGCCGTCTGGCCGCCAAGAGCGTGATACTCCCGATGAATATCCCCCACAATCGCCCTCCCATCATACCCATCCTTCCACAGCTTATTATCCACCAACCGATCATGAAACTCCGACTTCCACGTACTCACCCCACCATCCTTCGTCTTCACAATAACTTCCTTATGCAACTGCGCGCTCATCGCCTCGTCCGTCGCAACAAACCTCGTCCCCAACACAACCCCCTCAGCCCCCAGTGCCAGCGCCGCCGCCACCCCGCTGCCCTCCACGATCCCGCCCGCCGCGACGACAGCGACGTCCCGGTCGGGGAACTCGGCCGCCAGCATGGTCTTCACCTCGGGCACCAGCGCGACCACGCCGCAGCCCCGCGAGAACTGGTGCCCGCCGGCATCGACCCCCTGCGCGACGATGACGTCCGCGCCGTCAGCGGCCGCTTCCCGCGCCGCCGCGACGTTGCCGACTTGCACAAAGACCTTGGTGCCCTTGCCGCGGAGCGCGGCGATGATTTCGCCGTGCGGCTTGGTCTCGGGGTGCGGGGCGAAGAGCCAGGCTGCTGCGACGCCGTGGCGGACGAGGATGGGGAGGACGTTGGCTGCGAAGTGGCCGGCTGTCTCGTGGGACGTGATGAAGCCTACGCCTAGCGGGAGTCCTCCCGCACCGCTGCTGCTGCCGCTGCCGTCGGCGGCCGGGAGCGAGAGGAGGGTGCGGGCTTGGGTGAGGGCCTTGTCTAGGTCCGTCATCTGGGCTGAGGACTCTGAGAAGTCGAAGCCCGCGGCGATGAACCCTGAGAGAAAACGCAATTTGTCAGCTCGAGATCGTGATGCGAGACTCTCAGACATTTTCCGTCCCGACTGAGGGGTCGGAAGGGAGTCTGTGTTCGCCCTTACCGAAACCACCAGCTTTGTGAACTTCAGTTGCCATGGCGGCGCCGGCTGACCCCAGCATCGGCGCGTTGATGATGACGGGCGCCTTGACGTGGGGGAACCACGATACCAGTCTCGAGATGGCCATGCTTTGGTGTTTTCTTTTTTTTTCTTTTTCTCTTTTCGTCTTCTTTTTTGTTTTGAAGGGGGTTGTTTGGTGTTGACTTTTTTGGGACTTTGTGAGACAGCACTATTGGAAACCTTTTTGACTGTGACGATCGGACGGGGTCAAGCTTGGTTGTCTTATACACACAAAGAATCTCGGAAGTAAAAAAAAAAACAAGATGTTCAGAGTGAGATCTTGGTGCGTCTGTGAGACATGAAAAGGTACTGGCTTACTTACTACGGCTGACAAAACAAGAGGGAACGCATTGCCGGATCTTCGGAGGGTTCGTCGTCATCCCCTCCCTCTCAGCGGCTCCTCGGTTCTCCAATTGTGGGAACCGTGCAAACATCTCCGCGGAGGAAAGCGGGGCCGGACGGCCGTAGGAGGGTGTCGCCCGGGCCGCTTGTGATACATTCGGCCCGTGACTTGGCATATGCGCCGGGGGAGCTACATGGTCGATGATGAGGGCAGACCAATCAACGTCACTTGAATACGGAATTTTACTCAATGCTGTTCGTGGAATATTGCAGAGGGGCACTTGTCAAGTTCATAATTAGAAATGGTCAAGACCCGAATCTGCTTCAATCTATCTTCTGGACTTTTTGTACCTTGGCATCTACCGTCCTGTTCTTGACTTTAATGGTCACTCGCATCCTCAGCACAATCCATCCATCATGTACTCATTGAAGCTCAACACACTATATATATAAAGTAGGCGCACCCCTTCGAACACCTCGCAGTAATACCCATAATTACCCCCCTTCCTATCTCTCCCTCTCCCTCTCCGAAGGAGCAGGACCAGGCGACCTATCAAACATGCTCACACTCGCGATACTCCGCGGCGTCATCATCGACGGTGTAGGCACAATCGAAGACGGCGGTGCCCCAGACACGGGTGAAGCCATCTCGGACCCGTACAACTCGTACCGTCCCTGCGTCGTCTCCTCCTCAGACACCGGCGTCTGCAACTCCCGCGGCCCCTCATGCTCCCCCTCCGGCACAGAAGTCACGCTGTGGCCGTAGCCATAGCCGTACCCTCTCTTCCCTCCTGAATCCCCAATCTCCACAGGCGCGACAACGTCGTTGGGCGAATGCGCCTGTAGCGGCACGCCTCGCCCTCGGCCAGGCGTACCCGCCATCCCCGTTCCGGCTCCAGCCCCAGCCCCAGCTCCCGAACCATCGACCGCAGACATCCCGGTCTCTTCTGTCTCGGTGTACGGCCCCGCAACGGCATCCGGTCCAAAGTAATCCTGCGTCGCGCCCCGACTGGGCCCGTTCGGTCGAGATCCCGAAGTAACGTCCGATAATGCCCGCACCCCGCGACTAGGCCTCTCGCTCCCGACGCCAGACACTCCTGCCCCTCCTCCTCCTCCTGCGACTCTACTCCGCCCACCACCACCGCTACGTTCAGACATCGTCGCCGTCCCCGTCACAGTCCCCCTTCCTCTCCGTCTCCTCGAAAAACAAAACCACGCAAGCACCCCCGCGAGAGCACATCCCACAACAGCAACACCAACCCCGATCCCAGCCTTCGCCCCAGCCGACAATCCCCCTCCTCCCGCCCCGCCGTCCGGTACCGTAGTATACCCCACATCCCCCGTTGCCGTCGGATTCCCCGCCGCGCATCCGGCCGTCCCGCCAACAATAGTACAATGCATAAGATTATCGCAGCACCCGTCCCGTCCGTCATCGCACGCGTGCTGCGTGGTGGCAGTACACCTCGGATCAGCGGGCTTCAGCCCGCCTGTAGCAGAGGACGTGGGCGCCGAGAGCGTGCTCACGCAGCCGCGGTTGGAGACGCATGTCTGGCCGTAGGAGCAGCAGCCGCCGCCGAACTGGGATTCGCAGCGGAAGGCGGAGGGGGAGGGGCACGTGCGGCCGCAGCAGGCTGAGGATGTCGTGATGGAGGTTGTGAGGAGGGCGGCGGAGGACGACGCGCTTCTGGTCTGCGAGACGGTGACGGTTACGGTTATGGTTGTTGGGCATTGGTAGGCTGTCGCGGCGCAGTTTGAGTCGCAGTTGGAGCCGAGGGGGCAGCACCATGGTGTATTGTCGGGTTTCACGTAGCAGTAGTTCGTGTTTCCGCAGCAGGTCTCGGGGTGGCCTATATCGACGCCTGTGGGAGGGTTTCCATTTAGTTTGATGCTCTTTGGTGATAAGTTATATCTCTCCTTTTCCTCATTTTCTGAGATGCAGAAACTCTTAGAGGACGTTGAAATGGGTATACGAGGTCAAGAATGAACGCAGAAAAGGAATATCGATAACATTTGAACAAGCGGGCTCTACTTACAGGAATGAAAGTTCGGGTTGCAAATACCGCCATCACGAACAGCGAGCCTCGGTGCGTCAATGAAGAAGCGCGGAACGAGGCCGGCACCCTCGACGGCTGGCGACATGTCGACCGCGGCGTATCTCTGTCTAAAGGCCGCATTCGTGCCGGTGGTCGCTGCTGCCGCTGCGGCCACCGCAGCGGCGACCAGCGCGAGGATCGCGAGAGCCTCCATCTTCTCCCCCGTCTTCTTTGCTACTATCCCACCCCTCGGGAACGGAAACTTTTGATCGAGATAAGATCTGGGGGCTATGATCAATTTAATGGAACTGAAGAGCACATCGTCTCAATCGCACGAGGCTTTGCGGAAGATGAGATATTTTCCACCGCCAGCCTGCGCAGTTGTGGTGGTGAAAGCCTCGGAGGATGTGTGTAACAACGCAGGCAAACCGCGGCTGAAAGGGGAAAAAAGACCAAGGGAAAGAGGCAAGGGACACAGAACAATGAAATGTAAGCAAACCCAGCTCAAGGAGTAAAGCGGCAAACGTGAGGGTAATCAATGTAGGTAAGCTTGCGCACACAGAAAATACTGCTGCTCCTGCTGCAGCATGCGCCTAGATGCAGGGTAAAGTAGTATGCATCCATCATGGGAAATGGAGGAACATGTAAGCAGAAACCCCATTCCCTAGGAGGGTTGTCCAAAGTCCCTCGGGTCTGTTGAAACTTCCCATGTGCTCCCTATCTCTTCTGTCTTGCACTTGCGCGACTTCAGAATACCTCGGAAACATTCAAGAAGATATCTTTTCCCACATTTCGGCAACAGGCACGAAACGAAACCACTCGGTTTGCGCGCAAGTCTCACTCCCGGAGCTTGTTCAAAAACGGCAGAAGAAGCGGAGCACACTTCCACTGCTCTCACTTGCCCCTCTCGACCGCCGCCGAAAAGGATTCATCAGCACTGCACTTCGCGATGAAATGATTGGTGGCCTGCTCTGAGATCCCCATCTTCGTTGGTTCGTTTCCCTTGCTGGGCCGCTGGGCTGCATAGCGGGAGACCACCGCAACCACCACCCATGCCCGAATCCCCCTCTCCCTCGTGGCGACGCAGAACATACTTTTGACTTGGTGCCTCCCGAATCGGCGTATACCCGTTTCCCTCGAGATCGGGGAGGAAGACGACCCCAGCTTGGCTGCTTCTTGAGCGTGATACCCGGGCAATGTGGTCGTGCAAGGTTGAAATAGTAAGGGCTTTGGATGGAGCGTCACACTTGTGATTCGGATCCCAGGCTGTGTTGGTGTAACAGTGAATGCATACTCCTTCTTGCAGTCAGTCGCCACGCGGATGGAAGAATGCGATGTAAAGCAAACCGAATCTCAATGAGATATTCCAATGGCATGACTCTCGCATCAACTAGAGTCAGTCGTTGCTGCGCAAAGGCGTAAATGAGCCCTTCTTGGACCAAAGCAAAGACTCAATGATGAAAGTGAAATGTGCTCTGCCTGCCTCCGCAAGACGAAACACAGAAGTTGACTGATGAAGAGAAAGTGATCAAAGTCGAGGAAGCCGATAGACAACACTTCTTGCTACCCAAGGTAAGGAAAGAAGAAAATCAAGAATCCAGAGCGGAGCACCTCAGGCCCGGCCCGTCCGCCCCCCCTTCCCGACGACGGAAGACCGGCCCCAAGCGCCAGGAGGGGAAAAAGGAAAGAAGCTCGCCGGGCACGGGCGTAGGCCTCGACCACACCACGTCCGCTAACGCTAGCGCCCGAACCCCCCCCCCCCCCCCCCCCCCACAGCAGAATCCCGTCCAGAGCATCTCTCATCCATCTGGGCAGAAACGGCAGAACCCCGAGGGGCGACACAGGCGGTCAAGCCACGACTGAACCCCACCAAACCAATCTACCCTTTACCCCTCCAAGTCCCCCTCCGAATGAACTTTCTCACTTTTGAAGATATTCACAACCCAAATAAAGCTCCCTCCAAGAACGCTTCCATACACGAATCGCGATACACCCAAGACCGGCCCTCACCGAACCCGGATAGAAACAACACAAGAGAAAGAAGAAGCAAGAGGACAATAGAAACACAGCAAAAGGGCGAAACCCGACAGGAATCCCAACCGCCATCCCGATAATCTCACCACCAAAAACCACACACAATGACGACAATAACAACAACATCACAACCACCACCACCCTCGGGTCAATTCCCCCTCCCATCCCTCCTCCTCCACCCCTCCTCCACCACGCCAACCCTAATAACCCAAGGCGCAGAAGCCCGCCTCTACCAAACAACCCACCTAACCCCCACCCGCGCCGCAGCCCTCAAATACCGCCCTCCCAAACCCTACCGCCACCCGACCCTCGACGCCCGCCTGACCCGCGCCCGCATCCTCGCCGAAGCCCGCGTCCTCGCAAAATGCCGCCGCGAAGGCTGCTCCGTGCCCGCGTTGTATGCCCTAGACGAGGTGGCGGGCTGGTTGATGCTGGAGTGGATCCCGGGGCAACCGGTGAGGGTGAGGATTAACGAGTGGCTCGGGGAACGGACTACGGTGAGCACGATATCGGAAGAAGAAGAAGAAGAAGAAGGGGGAGGGATACCAGAAGGAACAGCGCCCAAAAAGGATCCAACGGGCATCAAAAACCTCATGCGCAGAATGGGCACAGCAATAGGCCAAATGCACAAAATTGGCATCGTCCACGGCGACCTCACAACATCAAACATGATGCTCCGTCCACCAAAGATCTCCACATCCACCACCACCACAGATCAATCCCAAACAACCGATCATGATCCCCTCGAAGGCCAAGTCTTCATCATCGACTTTGGCCTCGCAAGCCAAAGCACCTCGGACGAAGACCGCGCCGTCGACCTCTACGTCCTCGAACGCGCCTTTGGCAGCACTCACCCGCGTGCCGAGGCCTACTTCCAGGACGTCCTCGACGCCTACCGCGACTCGTACAAGCTGGCGCCCGTGACTCTCAAGAAGCTCGAGGACGTGCGGATGAGGGGGCGCAAGAGGAGCATGATTGGTTAGTCAGTCGGGGGAGCTGGGTGTAGCTTGTGTTGTATGACGATGCTGCGTAGACGTGTTTAGAGACACTTTTGAAATCTACTTGCCGAGAGATGGCGGACACATGCACCTACAGACCTCGGAGATTAAGTCAAAAGAAATGTGAGACACATGACGGCATGGAAAAGAAAATCGAATCAAATTGATACCCATAGAGTATTTTGGCGCGTTTGGCCGTTTCTACTTGATTCGATACGTCTTCATCTGTCTCTCCCCGTGTGTACTTATTCTGTACTTTGTTCAGTCCATCATGTGGTCCTGAGAGGTGCATTCTGTCAAGATGCCATCTATAGTTGCCCCAAAAGTTTGATAAAGCCCCATCCCCATAAAAAAAAAATAGAACCCGACGCCAGGTATAAAGTAATAATGCCGTGTGATATAAAACGCCGTGTCATGCTATTATTAGTCGATTTCCATAACGACTTTCGAGACCCAGCTCATTGTGTGTGAGCGTTTTGTCGAGACGCAATATCGGCCGTGACGCGCAAGCACTTGTCCCCAATCTGCTCTATTCTTGTTTGACAAGACACTTTGTCTCAAACCACTTTGCAAATCGCACCGTCGGGATATCAAACAAGCGCCAGAAAACATCGGCGGCCCAAATAACCGCAGGAATGCAGCCGAAAGATCCCAGAACGAATCCGGCATTGTACCACCAGCCCTCGAGGCCGGTGATGGCGTACACACGTCTCTCAATCATGTAACCAACGGTGTGCATGACTGGTCCGTGCATGAGGTAGAGAGCGTAGCTGATCTTGCCGAGATACTGGATGGGAGCAAGGTTGAAGAAGCTCTTCCATCTAGGAGAGTGGCCAACGCAGAGAACGAAAATGACAGCTCCGATAGATTGCCAGAATCGGTATCCTTCCTCTTCCCACCATTTGGGAATGAATGAGCAGAGCCAGACCCAACCAGGAGTGATTTCGTAGTTGATGTCCGGCTGACACATGAAGTAAATGGCGAGAATGCTGAGCATTGCCCAGAGGAAGCCCTTGAGACGGCTTCCCTGGGGTGGAGCCGCGCCATTCGCGGGAAGGACTGAAGGTTGCTGCACTGGCGTGTTATTGCCCATGATCTGATCGTACTCCGCAAGCATCATGCCAAAGTAGAACAGCAGCAGCTCCCAGCGATTGTTACGATAGGTGAAGGCGATGATTCCTGAGAGGAAGAGGAGACGGAGTCCGGACCGTACGCGAGCCAAGCCGATGAGGGTAATGAACAGGTACATGGAACAGCGGAATTCCACCGGGATAGTCCACAAGTGTACATCATACGCTAGGAATATTGTTAGTAAATCACACCACACAGATTCTCCAAAACCACTTACATGTGCTTCCACCGAAGCGCTCCCAGCCAAACACGTGAACAAAGCTGAACATGCTCCAGACCCAGTCGTAAAACTGCTCCGAAAAGGTGTCCAACGGCTTAGGATGAGGCTCCATGACGTTCTTGTGGAAAGCCCGATCAATGGCAAAGTCTCTGGTCCATTCGTAGACTCCGAATTGGAGCAGAAGCATGATGCAAAAGGTCGAGATGGCAGTCGGCATATACAATCTGATGAATCGACGGAATATCAAAGATGTCGTCGTCACGGAGAATTCCTCCATGTTCCCGGCCCTGGCGAGCTTGATCGGCTTCATGGAGAGAGCGTACCCGGAAATGACAAAGAACAGGCAGACTGCTGGCGGGCCTTGGTAGAAAAGTCGAAAGAAGGGCATCTTGAGAATGTGGTAGTTCTTTTCTGATGAACCCCAACCTTCGGCAATGATGAAGGCTTGGTAAAAGTAGTGACAGAAGAAGACGAAAAGCGCTGCCAGACCTCGCATGCCGTCGAGATGTGATGTCGGGAAGAGCTTGTCTGTTCGGCCTCGTTCTCTCGTAAATCGGCTCTGGACGAAGCTAGGTAGTAGGAAGATGAGGCCGCGGATCACCGTGACCCTCCATGGTACGGCTCGCGCGTAGCCAACTACACCCCGGGCGACGGTCGACCATCGTGGTATCGCAAAACGGACTTCGAGGTCGGCCCTACCGCTCTCGCTCTCGACGTCGGATAACGTCTTCTCGTCTAGGAGGCCCATACCCTCTTCGTGTGAAAGGGACACTTTGGAAGCAGCGTGTCCGTTCATTGTCCTGCAATGGAACCGGTGGGCGGATTTTGGTGTTGGTCGGGGACGGGACTAGGTGGGTGGGTATAAGGGAGGCTCTCGTGGCCAGGCGGCAGGTAGTAGTAAGTACAGTATCAAGCAAGCGCGGCTTGAACAGGACAGGGCCAAATGGAATCAGGTGGGAGAGGAAGGGGAGGCGGAGGCGGAGGAGGGAATGAGGTGGTTTTGATCCGGAAGGTCCTTGTTATTCAGACGATCTGGATCTGCAGAAGGGAGGGGCGAAAGGAGAGTGAAGGTCGGCAAGGGCAGGTAAATGTAATTGGGACCAGACACTGAACAGACAGGGCCTGTGAGAAAGGATGTTTCCCGAGGAGGAGGTACCGCCGCTGGCTCAGGCTGGCTGGGAAGCGTGGGTGTTGCTGGGTGCTGCTGGATGCGGCTGGGCGTGTGTCTTGTCTCGTCTCGTCAACGAGCCCGTGACCTTGACCTTGACCTTGACCTTGACCTTGTTGATGGGACCTGGGCTTAAGCAGGACTCTTTTGGGGGGAGGGGATCCAAGACCTGGGATACCTCCGCGACGTAGCAAAGGCGTGGGCCCTTGGGAAGAGGGAATGTGGAGAATGGGTACAGGAACAGCAGAGAAGAAAGAGATTGGTAACAGTGGAAAGACTGAGAGTAAACAGCCAAAACCGAAAAGAAAAGGGTCCGGCTGGGCTGAGATTCGGAACGACACCTCAGCGCATAAACGATTCGAGGTTCCCCGTCTGGCAATAAGAGGAGCAAGGACGGGTCGGTACTTCGTACCCGTAGGATGTGCCAATGTGGGGTTGATGCCAGGCGGCTGTGACCTCAGAAGTTGAGAAAGACGTGACTTCCGAGGCGAGCAGAGTTGGGAGAGAGCGTCAGTGGTGTGGGTTGATGGGGGCCTGTTTCAGGGTTGTGCAAGAGTGGGAAAAGGTTCAAGTGTGGCAGCTATGACGGGTTTGGGAAGGGATGCACCATGGAAGAGACCAGGTGCAGAGTGCAGAGAGATGCAGGATGAGAAAGATGTGCCTGTGCTACGGTATCCGTAAATAGGTAGAAAGTAAGGTACACCTCAGCCAAAGCCTCGTTTTCTCTAGGTGTTCAGTTTTGTTTCTTGGTGCCCGTAACGGAAGGTTACGTTTATCTCGTGTTTTTGTGTTTGGTGTCTCTTGCCTCGGATGGCAAGAGAAAGAGATAGAGAAAGAAAAGGCAAGGAAGGAAGGAAGGGGGCAGCCAAGGAACTCTTTCCTCCTTTCTTGTTGTTGAGTTTAGAGGGCCCAAAGAACCATCGAGGAAGGGACGAGGGAACGGGAAGGAAGGCACCTGCCCACTTTCAGTCTGTTCGTTCCTGTCTTGTCTTGTCTGACACGGGAGAGGCAAGAATGACGGGACTAACAAAGTGTAATTTTGGTTTGATAGCTGGATGGGGAGGGAAGGAAGGGAAGGGAAGGGAAGCTGAAAGGCAGCTCCTCACTCAATACACCACTACGGCGGGCACAAGGGAGAAAAGAAAAAGAGGCAGAGAGGCTCGTGGGTTCCAACTAGCGAAGGATGTGTGAAAGGACCCAGCCGAGGCGCAGATGTCAAGCAAGTCAGGAGGAAAGGATGCGGCGCCGCTGACTGTGCACCAACAGACCTCAGACTTTCTCTGCCTTCTCTGATGATCGGATTTCCATCGACACTCGGTATGTGCGTTTGGGTGTGTGTGAGTGTGGTAGGTGAGCAGACTCGATGATGAGCACGGTCGCCGACGGTCCAATGAGCTAGATGCAAAAGAAGGGATGAAACGATGGAAGTAAGCCGGTCGAGACAACAGTACGAATAATGACCGAGGCAACGCGATTGAATACAGACTACAGAGTACGGAGTAGAGAGCAAACACTCAAAAGAGTACCTATGTGTGGCTTGGGGTATAATGAGACGGAGAGTGAAATTGAGAAGGGGTGAAAGGCTCTCAGGGAGAAACAAAATAGCCTCTATCCCAGATCCATCCCAGATTGTTAATTCGATGAGGCTAGAAACGTAAAAGGTAGGTACAACGTTCTCTTTGCAACGGGCACCGAGCTTTGGGGACACCATTTTGGTAGTCTCTATGGCTAGGAAACCTGCAAGTAAAGTTATCGCTCCAAGAAACATCGGGTCCAGTCGCGGAGACTGGGGCACTTGGGACGGGAGATAGAAACGGGGCCGCGCGGTTTCACACTTATATGAAATATCGAAGCACGTCCAAAGAAAGTGGGATAGACTCTAGGAGAGATGGGCGGGCGGCCGGTTGTTGGGTCGCGCCAAAATCAGCAAGGACGGGCAAAGAAATAAAGGGGAAACAAAACGATAAACGATGAGCCCCCGGGAACATCATATGGATGAAGCGAGACGAAGCAAGACAATGCTGGGAATGTAGTGTCGGCAGATCTAATCTGTTTATTGGCTTTGTTACGTGCACCAAGCTATCTGCTAGGGATCCATACACATCAAGACCTGTCAGACACTCTGGTTGAGAAAACCCAAAATAAAAATAACAAAAACCTACGAGAGAATCCAAGACAACCACGACATCAGTGACCAAACGAAGAGCTCAGTGGATTGATTTTCTTGGAATGGTGCGTAACATGACTGGATATTGCACACTCGTCCCAGTGTCTGAGATACGCAAGCCACGCAGGGTACGTAAAGGGCCTACGGGGACAATCAATCAATATTGGATCCAGTTCTCCTCAAAAAAAAAAAGTCTCAATGTCGTCGGCTCTTCTCCAATGGATTCAATCAATGATCCAATGGAAAGTCTCCAGTCCCAGATTCCCCTTTTCATGGATGATTGGAGATATGGAGAGAAGTGGGCAAGCATGCAGCGTGGAAGAGGGAGAGGGATCCTCTTTTCCTCCAAGAAATGGAGCCCCAGTCCGCCGCGGTGCGCCGCCCATCATCTCCCGCCCCTCCTCCCTCCCTCCCTCTTGAGTCTTCCGCTGGCGCATCACACCTTGGGAGGTCCTTTGACACCTTTCTGCAGAATAGTCTCAATGGGAGGTGAGACCGTGAGAACGAATGACGGTTCAACGGCTCGTCTGGGCATGACGCCGAACCGACCGGACCGGGGGGGAGAAGGCAAAGGAGAGGACGATGAGCATTGGCAAGGGTCTCGGGATCCATGGGGCCCTTGGGGTAAAGAAAGGGGACTCCAAAACCTCGAGGGCTCAAGGGGAAAGATGCCAGATGGAACGTTTAGAGGTTTCTCTCTGTTCCCGCCGAGGAATGCCATGGCCGCTCATCAAGCCAAAAGTCGGCATCTCAGGACCGATATCAGGTCTCGGCGCATGACTTATCAGGAATCAGAAGCTTCCCGGTGCCACTTTTTCACAAAGAGCTGTCGTAAGCGGACTGGAGCACCTTCTGTAGATTTTGGCCGGGGAATATCGAGGAATGCCACATATTGGTCCAAGAGGGCGATTTCGATGGGCTCCAGAGTTCCAAAGTGGTCCAGTTTTTTGGTACCTTGTATCGGGGATTGGCACTATGGACGGATGGATGGCGGCGGTGGTCTCAAGGTGTTGCAAACTTGCAGTAATTTCAAGGTTGAGATCGGCGCTTGGGTCCACGCTACCGCGCTCGGGAAACCGGGGGGGGGAACAAGGCTCGAGTGTTCGAGACACTGCGACGGTCCAGGTGCCGCGTGCGGCGTGCGGCGCGGACGGCATGGCATGCATACCACTTTCGTGGTTGGAAGCCGGAGTTGGGTTGCCAGGTATCGCATCTTTGCCAAATTCGCCTAAGGTGGCAGTGTGGCACGGTCATGTAGGTACCCGTCTTCCGATGAATCTCCAGGTTCTCGACTTCCAACTCGAGCGGGCCTCATGTCGCTGCCATCGTTGATCTTTGGACTAGACAGGGCGAGACTTGAGAGAGGCAGTGACGCGACCAGCGCGTGCAGTACGTCTTGCATATCCACAAAACTCCAGTGGGATTGCAGGTATTACTTCTTGGTCTTGAGTCTTGGTCTTCTTCCCCCTCCTTCCCCCCCGTCAGGGGTACAGCTTGTTTCCCGGCAGTCACTCCCCTTGGCTTTGTTGCAGATTGGCAATCCGTCACGCAGAATGCATGGCAGGCACCGCACCGCCCGCCCGTCCGTCCTGCCGCCCCGCCGTGCTATTAGCCTGCCGTGCCTGCCATGTGCTGTTGGGTTTCTGGGAGTTCACCTCAAGCGCCATCTGCGAATCTGCGCGTCCGTACGGAAAGTCATCTCACAGAAGTATGAGATATCCGGGACAGCTGCTCCATTCCCCATCTCCGATCCATTCCAACCGTCAATCTCGGTTTATTTTCCACCCAGCCGTGCCAGTCACTAATGAACACTCAGTCAGATCAGTTCTCTTCGGGCTCAGTGGTTCATCTTCATCTAGGTAACTCATGAGCATATCCGTAGGCGTAACAGCAAGTCGCCGCCATCCACCCATGGTTTCGCAACCGAGAAGGGAGAACCCCCCAGGCTCTGTTTTAGGATCCCGTCTCTCGCCTCCCCTTGGGTGCCCCAATGAAAATCAAGAACAGACCGACGATCAGCATCCGAAAGCCGAGTCAGACCACCATTCAACTTTCGGCTCACTGGCTCTCAATGGACGGGGACCCCAAAGCCCGCCCGCTGTCCAAGGGAAGAGGGGGCCAAGCGAACGGCCCTGGATCGACGTTGCTCTCGGCTGTGAGACTCTTCGAGTTGAGCCTTGCTTGTCCTCCAGGTCCCGAATTCCAGTGGTTGAGTGGCCCCTGTGCCAGTACCTGTCCCGTCCCCCGGAACCAATGAGGGACTTCTGTGCGGCGGTGGCGGCGATGCGCTTCCTGAACGGTGAACCACGTCCACGCTTAATTCCTATCCGTAGCCCGAATACCTCGCTGAGGCTCGCTCTCGTGAGTCTCGCCTCGTCTCGTCTCCCATGTAATGGACTACAGAGTAGCATTGCAGACACGGGACGCCGTATCTAAATTTGTACGCAGCACAGAAAACAGAGTTAATCCGTGTTTCTTGAACCATGTCGATACTTAGTAATAATACATCTTTGTGTGTGTCTTGTTGGTTTTTTTTGAGTTTGGAATACAGAAGAACCACCCGTCTGACACAAACACGTCGAGTCTGTAATAGCCACAGCCCGAACATCGTCTCGTCGCATCCATCCCGTTGTACCCGCCGTCTCATTAGCTTTTTAGGTATCCTCTACGTGTGACACTGAACCGTGAAGGGAGTGTATCTTGTACAAATATGCGAAACCAACGCCTGCCGAAACCCCGTTATATCCCAGCCTATAAGGCCGAATACCATCATGTCACTTTCTCCTACGTCATGATCTCAATAGCAAAATAGTCACATACGCCCAAAACACCTTGCCTTTATATCATCAAGCCATGCCACCCACCATCTTTTTTAGGTGGAGAGCCAGTCGAGGAACTCGGGGGTGAAGTAGCTGATGACAATGGTCGCACCAGCTCTCAGAATACCCTCAGTCGACTCGAAAGCCATCGCCTTCAAGTCGAAAACGCCAGACTTGGCCGCTGCGTGAATCATGGCGAACTCGCCACTGACCTGGTACGCGGCGACAGGCATGTCCTTGCCGAGCTCCTTTGCATCGCTGATGATGTCGAGATACTGACTGGCGGGCTTGACCATGATGATGTCGGCACCCTCGCCAATATCACGGACGATTGCGCGGCGGGCCAAGCCACGACCGCCCGGGGGCAGCTGGTAGCACTTGCGGTCTCCGAACGACGGGGCAGAGCCCGCCGCGTCACGGAACGGACCGTACAAGCAGCCCGAGAACTTGGCCGAGTATGACATAAGCACCGTCTTGTGAGCGATGCCCTCCTCGATCAACTTCAGCTTGATGGCACGGATACGGCCGTCGTTCATGTCCGAGGGGGCAACGCAGTGGGCTCCGGCCACCGCGTAGGCAATGGCAACGTCGGAAATGCGGTCAACGGACAGTTGGTTGTTCAAGCTACCGTCGTCTCGCAGGATACCGCAGTGGCCGTGGGAAGTGTACTCGCACAGGCAGACATCGGCGCAGATGAAGAGCTGGGGGAAACGCTGGCGGATGGCGCGAATGCTTCTGATAACGGGTCCCTCTGGGTCGTCGGCGGCGGTGCCAAGAGCGTCCTTGGTCCCCGGACGCACGGGCACTCCGAAGAGCATCACGGAGCGCAGACCCTTGCGCACAAGCACCTCCAGCCATGCCATTGTTTTGTTGATGCCTCGGCGATATTGGCCGGGCAAAGAGGGGATCAAGATCTCCTCGTCGTCTTGGTCGGAGATGAAGAGAGGGTAGATGAGCATGGACTGGAGAGAGTACAAATCAGCAATGATTCACGGATGACTGTACCATGCCTCGGCTTGTAGAACTGACCTTGGTCAACTGCCTCTCGGCTTGCCACGAGCGGGCAAGGGGGTGAAAGTAGCCGCCGTGCAGCTGGCTGGAAATGTCACCAGAGATGCTGACACTCGTCGCCGCTGTGCTGGCGTAGGACATGGCGCGGGAAACTTGCGACCGGCCATCATCGATGGTAGAGACTGATTGAGCACCGCGGGGTCGGCGCGGAACGCCGGACTCCCTCATGGTGAGGTCCTGAACAAGGCTGGAGAAGGACATGATGTGTATTACGGCGTCGTCGGGTTAACTTGTAGCTTCGAAGATTGGATGAGGGGTTGAGTCGATGGAGGTGGCGAACGGTTATCGGAGTGCGGACAAGCAAAGGGGTTCGCGGCGGTCGCAATAAGAGATTCGTGGTATTTATGGTGGTTCTTTTGCCCAACGGGAGTCAACGGGAGTTCAATTCGACGGGAGGGATTAACGACGACGAGAACGACGTTATCTGGAAAGGGATGGCTCGGAAGGTTTGGGGCTGAAGATGGGAGAAATACGAAGAGCTGAGGTGGCACAGAGAAGAGGTCAAAAAGGTTCGCTGTGCCAAAAGTTGACGGGATTTGAAACGGACCAGCTTTCCCTTCCCGCTTTGGTAGTGGTCACTGGCATAACAAGGTACTTGGGGGGGGACTCGGCAGGAGACGGAGTTGAGCGTGGGGCCCTTCCTACCAAGCCGTTCTGGAAACGGACGAATAGAATTGCGCAATGGTACTGCTGACAGACCAATCACGGTCCAATCTTTTCCAATTGGCCCTCTCCGGTGGCGGCGTCTCCGCTCCAAACGGGACCTTCTTCTCGCATTTTCCGATGTCCGCGTGCTTTCCAACGGCGAAACCGAGAATCTTGTGCCCGTAAGCCGGTCAGCAACATTCTCTTGCGTCCATGCGTGCCATGGCGAGGGCTGACTAAGATGATCGAGATGGTCAGAAACCTCGGCTGGCGAATGATTGCCTTCCTCATTTTGTTTGCTTGCAGCGGTCCTGTACTGATATTCCGAACCGCTGTCTCCTTTCCGAGACACGCTCTGTTAGAAAATTCCCTCCCCTGGCCCGCTGCCCATGTAACGGCGAAAGGCGGAGGGCTGGGCACAAACTTCTCCTGGAGGGATCCAGATCCCAACACCGAGATGCTCCGAGTATCTCCGCAGGTGGCTACGGCTGGCAGCAGGCCCGTTTCTTCCCCGGTGCCTCTCCTAGACTTCCGTCCCGTTGTGCGCCCACCCATAACGTTCACCGGTGAGACCGGCTTCCCGCATGCCCCGTTACCGGCCACGGTGCACTCCGGTGATGCTCGGAGGAGACCGGATGCGCTGTAATTCTTTGGACCTTTTCTTCGCCTGCTCATCACATTTAGCTTTAATACCTAATTTCATTATATGGTTAACGAGCATCTAACTTCCTTCTCCAATATACATGGATTAATGGCATATGCCAATCTGGCTTACACGTCTTGGCTTTCCCTTTTTGTCAGGCAATGTCAAACCAGCCCTCTCGAAGTTGATACTGGATGTTCTTTATCATTCTGCTAGAATGTGTACAGTTTTCTCTGAATCACATCCACGTCCCAGCGAAGTGCCACACCGTCTGATCAAGCCAAGTTACGCCCCATCGCCGTATGGTATAGCATGATCCCACTGCGATGCTCTTCCTCGTGCGAAGCGCCATCTCCGGGGTGCCAGACAGAGTTGCCGATGCCCTGATGTTTTCGTGCTTTCGGGCCGAGAACTGTAGATGATGACTCTGCGCGGTCCCGATTTCCTGCTTTTCTTCAGCGCATCAGCCAGCCACGGCGTTCTCATGTCTTGAGGTAAATCTCCGCCTCAGCCACGATCCGTGATGTTTCCCAGCAGGGAACACAATCGAGATCCCCAAGAGGTCTCTTTGAGATTGCTTCGAGGTCATTCGAGTATTTGTGCTGATTCTTTGAGAGGCATATTGCAACTCCATTCCGGTCAAAGAATTGGTTGAAGGCCTCACCCCCCAACCCAAGACTGAAAGTCGACAACTCCGGATAGTGCAAATCAGGGGCACTCAGGTTCACTTTCAGACAAAGCCACCGAACCTATCCTCCGTGAGCTCTTTCAAACTGCGGCTTGGACTCGCCCTCCAAGCCGCAGACTTGAGTTATCGTCCCCTGAGGTTTCCAGTGCAAGTCAGAGGTCCCCCGGGGGCCACGCCCCGAGTCTCCGCTCTCAGGTAACCCCTGTGGAACAACCAAACGCCGAACGAAACATAGAGCTTATCTCGGAGGCTCGAAACAGGAAGCCACGACGGTGGGTTTGGTGTTGAGAGGAGGAACGGCCGAACCTTCCCACGGGAAAACCTGTTCAGTTGGAAGGGCGGTCTCGGTTCGCTCGCTTCTTTTTTTCTTTTCCACACCTCATCGTGTCCCCCACGTTCGCTCCCCACGATCCCCCCAAATTCTTCAGAAGCAATCGCAACTATCAACTTGGTCGCCTATTGCTGGCTTTGGCAACAGTAGATCTCAAGAAAAGAACTTCAAGCCCGTTGCAAGGTACATCGAATCCAGAGGAAGCTCTGTTCCAAAGTCATTCTCTGATCGCCATCAGCACCATCTGCAGCGCTCCAGATTCGTCTGCTTGGGTCCGTCAGCATCAAGTACTCGGGAAGATATATTCCAGGTTGGCTAACCACTCACTATCAAGCCTCACGGCATCAAGAACCTCGCCAACATTGGCTTCTTCGTTTTGTCGTTAACATCCCTCTTCCTCTAGGACGCTTGTCGTCCTGTCCACTCCTTCGCCCAGTCCCAAAACACCTCATGCACGATGAAGAAAAAATCCATGAGCACCCTCGCCAATCTGGCGCCGCGTCGTCGTGGTAAGGGCAGAAAGAAGGAAGAGAAAAAGGAGATTCAAGGTAAATGACAGTTCGATCATCTCGTCCGGTACCAGCTGACAATTGGAATAGCTCCAGTCACTCCTTCGCTGCCTGCGAATCGAAGCGGACCCGCCCACCCATTCAGCTACCCTGATCCAGGCGGCAATACTGATCCGAATAACGACCCCTTGGCTAACGACTTGTTGGAGACCACTATCTACCATCATCCAAACGGTTTGCGCAGTCATCCGTCCGTTCTCCTCTGTGGAACTGAGCCGATGGCTATCGCACCAATCGTATCTCCTGATGTGCAATCCACGAGTCCTTCGACATACCGAATCGTTAATCTTCCATCGGAGGATTTCTCACCTCAGTGCCAATCCGACACCCAGGTTGTGGGAACTGAAGAGACTGCTCCGGCTATACCTGCAAAGTCCTCGCGACGCCAATGTGGCAAGCAGGAGAACGACACCGAGAATCGCCCTGCGATTCTCAAGTTCCCGCACTCCAAGACGACGATGCTCGACCCTGGCAATAGACATCCTCTGGTTCTGCCTTTCTCTACAACGGTTCCACTCACACACGGTGGATATTCTGAAGAGGATTATGCTGAACAAGTTGCTGTTTCCCGGGCTATTGTCGCCCAAGCTCTTGCCGCGCGGACTGCTGCCGAAGAGGCTGCTAGCATCCATGCTACTGTCGAAGAGGATGTGGTCGAAGAGGATGTGGTCGCCCATATGCTTGGTCCAGAGAATGATCCTAGATCGGCCTTGATCAACCCCAACTTGGTCGATGAAAAGACCAATGCAATGCTGGCTCACACCAAAGCCCTGAAGCCCCCCGGCTTAGAGAAATCCACGCTTCCTTCATCAAAGACTTCTTTGTTTCTTCAGAACAAGGTCGTCTCCAAGGTTCGCCATGTATTCGAATCCATCTTGCCTAAGCCTGCAACACCGGAATCAAAGATCAGGGGCAAGATCTCAGCGCCTATCGGGCTGACCACCTGCGATCTGCCTAACCCTGCAGCTCACTATCACCTTGAGGAGGTCGAAGTCGAAGTCGAAGAGGCGTCCATTGTCAGCTCTATCGAGCTTCGTCTCAACGAGGGCAACAACCTGCACAACCAGAAGGTCCAAAGCATCGTTGGCGATCGCATCGTTCGAAAGGCGGTGACTGATGACGATAGTTCGCTTTGCTGTAGCGATTCACCAGAAGATCCCTTCTCCGGGGAGTTTGAAGTCGCAAATCGTCCGCCCACTCCTTTTGAGCATCGCCTCAAGAGTAGCCTCGACTCTACTGGTGTCCCTCCGGTTCCGTCTTTGAATCCTTTTGATACTGAGAAGGACTTCGATGCCGACCTCGAGGGAATGTTGTCCGAGAAGCCTGTCTGCGCTTCAACCCCGCGTCGACCCGACCGGAAGGCAGCTCCTGCCGAAAGCCCTTCCAAGCGGTATGCAAAGGCTGACGACCATCATCTCGCGTCCACCAACGACACTGAGGGAGGCCCTAGTGCTCCCGGCCCTACTCCGAGAAAGTTGAAGCTGTCAGGCGGCTGGAGACTCTTCCGCGATCAGCCTGAGCCCAGCACCAAGAAACACCCGTCGCCCAGCAAGGAGGATCTCGAAGACTACCAAGATCAACTTCGTGGAATGGTCATCGAGGAGATGGAGAAGAAGCCCGAGCAGCGGGAAGAACTGAGGACCAAGTGGGAAGGCGTCCTCGCACCGGCTGCCCTGGGCCCCAAAGATGTGAACGCCGCGCTGATGTCAAGCGAGGCCAAGCAGCCTGTCGCAAAGCCCACTGTCATTATCGGCGAGGCCAGCACAGTCTCTCTGCGTCGATACAATCGCGAAGAGTTCACCCGCATCACGACGACTACTTCCCGAATTCCTCGGCCTTCTCCTCGGTACACTACATACAATCGACCCTCGAACTTCGATGCGCTGGATATTGACGAGTTGCAGTAGGATGTGACCGTATATGCTCCGAGACGTCGTCGTCATTGCTAGAGCTCGTCGCGGAATTTTGATGAGTTCGAAAATATTGGAACGTCCTTGGCGGCGCCATCGGGTGTCTGGGCCATTCCATCGGTTCTTTGTGTGCGGTGGTTCTGGGAAGTTCGCCTGAGGACCACCAAACGAAAAGATCTGAAATCGCTCCTGCCTCCTACAAGCTTCCACAGCTGGCTTCAACAATTTGGAGAGAGCCCGCCTGCGTTCTTTTCTGGAATTTGGCAAACCTGTTGAGTATTTCCGCGGCCAAACATTGAGATGGTACCAACAAGTCACCTACATTCGTTGATTGGCGCGACCCAAATTTGTGTAAGTTGTTGCTGTCTCCTGAACGAATCATTAGCTAATATTCTGCAGAAGAATACATCCAATTTCGACTTGGACTGCTTTGCGGATCCGGCTGCACTTTTTTTTTTCCTTTTTCATGGGACCCGAACATATCAACAGGTCTTCAGTACTCCCAAGCACGATTGAGCAACCTTAATACAAGTCCTACTGTCTTCCTTACTAGGCCTGGGCAACCGGTTGCTGTGCGAATCGGAGTAACAACAATTCGTGGACCACTTTTTCTACACAGGACAACAGGACAACAGAACATCTCTTCTCTTTCAGACTGTGCCACTTTGCAACTCTACCTTACCCAACCATGGGAGAGTCAGGTTGGTCTGAATATCAGTCAACCTCGACAAGACTCTGCCATCCGCTGAATTGCATAACAACACCACCCTGGAGGACGGACGTCACAGTGGAAGGATGGTAACTGGTGTAATTAGAGGTTAAGGGGGGCAAGCCCAGATAGGTACCTAGTCACAATTCAAAGCCTTCAAAGCAAACCAGTCACGTGCCACATTCTGCAGTCTCGAGTCAAATGACGTTTGTTTGCTTTACTCTGTTTATTTTATATCGTAACACAGACATGGTATCTCTAAACCAAATCGCTCTCAGTAATACTAATACAATAGGTATCCAATTCCATCATAATCCATACAAATAAGAGGCTCGCTTGTTGGTATCTATCGAACGATAGAAGGAGGGGTATCTTTGGTATGCCACACATCTAGTAGCGGTGGGCGCGGTGCGAGCCGCGACCGTCGGTGCCGTGCATGCGGCGGGTGCCGGCGGCCTTTTGACCGGGGCGACGGGTCAAGGTGCCCTTGAGCTTGAGCATGGCACCGGAGATCTTGTCGCCCATGGAGGGCTTGCGGCGCTGGTGGTGGACGGGGGCTGTGTGCACGACGGGGCCGCGGCGGCGGGAGAAGAGACCGCCGCCGCGCTTGGTGCGGGTTGTCTTTGTGGTGGTGGTGTGGTGGTGGGTTGTGTGGGCCGGGGTGCGGCGGGAGAAGATGCTGCGGCGGGGGGCGGTGGTGGTTGTGTGGCGGGTTGATCTGAGAGGCATGGTTGCGGTTTTTGAAGGGGTGAATAATATAGAGGAGTGGTTTATTTGATGGGGTTGACTTGAAGTCAGGTGGTTGTTTGTTTGGATTGTTGGGTTTGGTTGTTTGGTAGCTTGATGCTGATGATGAGAGGAGGGAAGAAGATGGTAGGTGGGTTTGGAGGGTGGTTTATATGCTTTCTTGATGGTTCTATTCAGGACTGCGGTTTTGGTATGTCTGGACCATGTCAGATGGCGTATGTTGGTAGATAGTGTGATTTGGGCATGTCATCATCGCGGGGTGGGAGGTTCGTGAACAGACAGGGGGGGTTGGTTTGGGTCTTGGGGGATCAGGGCCCCGGGAGGGGGATGATGTCAGGTCCAGGGGATCTACGTTTGTATGTGTGTGTAGTCTCGAGTCTGAGGCCTCTACAATAGGTACCTACATACTGCGCCAAAAGTGACAAGGCTATCTCTTTTTTCGTATGAACACTGTTAGTGAGTGGGCATCCTTTGGTGGGATTGATGCGCAAAGGGTCCGAAACCTGCGCCTTGGTTCCACACTCTGGACCCTATTTTCGTTTTGTGATCCTCCCTCTGACGACGAAATTAAGATGGAGGAGGTGGAGTGTGTCGTCGGACCCTGATTGTGGGAAAGAGGGTGACGTCCCTTGCAGTCCATTCCGTCGGGTAGGAGGACTGGTACGAAGTACATTCAGCCATTCTTACGTAGGAGAGGGGGGAGGCAGGTTGGACATGGATGGTGGTGGGAAATGGCCAAGGCTGGCCAGAAATGACCATCTCGGGGGCAAGAGCTCAAAGTGAGATTGTTCTCCGTTTGTTGCGACTCGACTGCGAGGTGAGGTCAAGGTGAGCGAGCGCGAGGATCCCTCAAAAGTCCAGCCCCAATGCCCATCAGCCCAAAAATCAAGTTTTGGAGGGTCCCTGTGGCTGGTGACGTCGAGGTGCGGTCGGAGGAAGAAATCCCATTGGGTCCAGCCTTATACCCCTGTCTCTTGCCCCGGAGCGACAACGCTTGCGCGAGAATACTAGGGGTGTGGATTCCGCCAATTAGAGTTGTGGCACGGGCGAAGTGTGGCTGGCCTGGTCAGCGTAAGTAGGTATGATGTCATGCGCAACTGTTGGTTCGGTGTGGCTTGCTTGTCATACCTTTACGGACAGGTCTGGGCCCAAACGGAAGCCTCGCTTTCTTGTTTTCTCCCCTGGTTGTTGATCAAACGTAGATAGACTGAACGGTCCGACCTTCCCTCTTTGTGTGTATCACGCTGGCTGATCGGAAAGATAGTGCGTTGTTGGACGGATCGTTTTGTTGGCGTGAGAGAAGTTGATTTGGGGACAAAGATAGACATTGGGGGATTTGCGGCCGCTGACGACGGTTAGACTGGGGACCACCAGAATTCGACGTCAGTTTTGCGGGTTCGAGGCCTTTTTTGGTGTCTTGTGGTCTCAATTTTGGCCAAGTCAAGACAATTGACTCGGGTCTGGACTGAGATGGAACGGAATATCACTGAGGGGAATGACATCGCTGGTGGCCTTGGAACGGTGATCCCTTGACGGTGCACTTTATCCGGTCGTTAAACGAACGACTCCTTATCTTTCTTGTACCAGATCTTCATGGCCAAGTAAGACATTAATGTTGGTGTATCCGAGGTCAAATGTTTGAAGCGCGAGAGGCGATGCTGTCGAGGCACCCGTCCTCCCCAAGCTTGATCTTCTCTGCCACTTTGCACCTAAACAGAGTCATCACCATTGCTTCCTGGGACACCTTATCCTCATGAAACTCCTGATCTTTCTGTCGGTAACGTATACATCGTAGTCGTGGTGGTCCTAGTGCTAGACGATTTGGCAGTGTTGACTTCAGCCACCGCGGCAACAAAAACGAACTTTATTCTACGCGAGTCTTCGTTCTTGCTCGATTAGAAAACAGGCTATTCTTACTTGACTATGTGGAGGTACGATGAAGAGCTCGGGGGTGATGGTTTCTTCAGCTCGAGGTTTCCCTCCGTAACTTTCATACTTCCTCGTCAACGAGCAAAAGGGCTACCTCACTGGAACTGCTGCCCTTTCTCCCTGTGTAGGGTATCTCCCCTCCTTTGCTCCCCAATAGTGTCTAGTGACACGATAGCTCCAGCTTGAGAACGTGAAGGGGTAATGGGCTTTTCTTTAATTCACGAATGCCACCCTGAAAGTACTGGCCACGCGAGTAGACCTTCATATTGATCGTGTATCTGGTGCATCTGGTCAAAATTCGACAGTACAGAAGTACTCGCCGTCGGCTCATGCCCCGATCCGGCCCCTCTACAGTCATCACGCCGTAAAATTCAACCCTGAATTCTCATCCCCGCGAAGGTTATTCTTAATCCTGGCCAGGTCGTCGGTCGAAAAACCAAGACTTGTCAGAATGTACCCCTCCCAACCGCTGTGCACTTCCTGCAATGCCGCGACGAACGCATCCCAGCACGACGTCCGCAGGCTGCACAGGTTGTAAAAGCCCGGGTGTTGCTCGAAAGCGAGGCTACCGCCGCCGGCGCGGGCCTGCTGGAGGAGCCGCCCCCTCGCTGGCTCGGTACCGATGCGCGAGAGCATGTAATCGAAACGAACGTCCTCGGGCGCGGTGCCCGCGAGAGATTGTAGGAGACCTGCCATTACGCCGGTGCGGTCTCTTCCAGCTACGAGGGGGTTTTCGTGTTAGTTGGGCTCTTCTACCTTGGCTGGCCACGCCGCACAGCGCTTGGCCTTTTTCGTTAGAATCCCCAACTAGGTGAGCAAGTATGCGTACCTGTGCAGTGAAAGAGAAAAGGCTCCTCGGGCCTATCACGCACGTGCTCCAAGATGGCTCGGTAGATGGGTCCGTACAAGTCGAGGACCTTGAGGTACTCCTTCCGGAGACCAACTTCGCCCCCGGCCTCGACAAAGTCGTCCAGATCAGGCGGGCTGTGGACGCCCGCGCTCTCAAGCCATGTGTTTGCGACCCCGTTGACCTCTGGATCGGGATGTTTCTCACGTTCCGCAGAGGTACGGACGTCAAAGACGTGCTTCACGTTGGCAGCCAGCCACTTGAGAGCCTGCGGGTTTTGGGTGGCGGCTTCGAGCATGCCGCAGCGGTATACGAGACCTGGACGGACGCCGGAGCCGGGGACGGCGCCGAGGTCGCGGATGTTGATGAGCCCTGGGATGGGGATGAAGGGCGGAGCGCTCAGTGTCTGCTGTAAGATTTCTGGGGGTATTGGATCGCGGACGTCTCTTGTCGTGAGAGTCTCTGACTGGTGTCGGGACATAGACATTTTGGCGACAATCAGATTGTAAAATCTCGGAGAGGGGATGCAAAAACTGGCAGTGTCGAGTTTAGCCAGGTTTAGGGACGGGAGACAGGATGAAGGGAGCTGTTTTTGAGGCGAATGTTTGTTGACGGCAGTGAGGCAGACGGGAGCCTGAGGTAGGCAGCACTTGCGCCCTTCAATCATTGAATAGAGCTTTGTTGGAGTAGACGTTTTGGAGTTGTAAGCAGTCCTATGTAAGACGCGAACAAAGATGGCCCGTCCCCGTTGGAATAAGCTTCCTCAGGTGTTCTAGGGACGGGAGCTAGCATCAATTCCATGAAGCCGCCATGTGGTGCCAAGCCGCCGGATATTGAGATCTTTTGATTTTACCGTTTGCGGACTCAACATGACAACGTCTCAACGCTCTGTGTGGTCGGAGCGACTTTACAGGAACGGTGCTCTTGTAACGGGCATAGCAAGCCGTTGGTCCCCAGACACGCCTGAATCCTTTTGGTCGGGATTTCCCCTCAGAAAATGGTGCAGAAACAGCATGTTCTTTATCATCCGGGATGTTGGACAATTCGAAGACACTGGGCGACGGAGTTGATGATGTTGTTTTAAAGAAGTATCCATGAAGCTGTCATCCCTGCCCCCCCCCCATGCGCAGATAAGATAAAGCCCCCCTTATCAAACCGCGCGATAAGGATATCGACCTTCCACACCGAATTTCAAGACGTCGTCTTCCAACAAAGCAAGCCATTTGACTCAAGTTGAGACACTAATCACCTCAATGAGTGGCTAGCATTCCAGCATCATGTCCTCAAATCCAATCTTGAGGTGGGGTCTGGGCCTCTCAGCCGCCGCGGCCGTGGTCGCAATCGCAGTCGTGCGCCTCCAGCAACCCCTCTTGGGCGACATCGATAACACCCAAACGTACTGCTACCAAGGCATCCGTACGCACGACGAGGACCAACCGTCAGCCCAGTGTTTTACTGTGGCTGACGGCAAGTTCACTCGTGTGTTCCCGTGGGATGATGCAAGCTTGACTACCACGGCCGGATTCGTCATTCCTGGTTTGTGGGATGGCCACGGCCACCTGAGTCAGTATGGCGAGTTTCTCTACTCGGCCGATCTATTCGGAGCCTCTTCTTTGGATGATGTTCGAGGCCGCCTAAGGGACTATGTCGACAGCCACCCCGATTCTGGCACCGAGAACGAATGGATTCGAGGAATTGGCTGGGATCAGTCGGCGTACGGCAGAATGCCGACCGCTGTGAGTTCGTTTTGCCCCTTTGTGCCCAGAGATGTTCCTAATCCCCGATAAGGCAGACATTGAAGAGGACGAATCTCTGAAGGGCAAGTACTTCATGCTTGACAGGATTGATGTCCACTGTGCGTGGGTATCTCAAGCAGTGCTCGACCTGTTGCCCGCAGACCTCCCAGATGTGCCTGGCGGCGAGATCGTCCGCGAGCCAGGCATGGGCGTCTTTTGTGACAATGCCATGGATCTGATCTACAACTTGTGGCCGAAGCCCGGACCCGAGAAGAAGCGAGCATTCATTGCCGCCGCCATGGCCAAGCTGAACGAGGTCGGTCTGGTCGGTATGCATGATGCTGGTGTCTTTCCTGAAGAGCTCGATCTGTATGCCGATATGGCAGGCACGGATGACTGGACTGTCCGCGTATATGCCATGTTGGAGTGCGCTCAGCGTAATACTTTCTGTCCCGAGGATGCTGCACGGGTCTTCCGGGAGGATGACTTGTTCAGCGTCAAGTCCGTCAAGCTTTTTGCAGGTATGTTTGGTGAGATATTTGACATGAGATGAACCACTGAAACTGACTATTCCCAGACGGCGCTCTTGGAAGTTGGGGAAGTGCCATGATCGAACCATACAGTGATCGCCCCGATACCGCCGGCTCTCTTCTCGTCAACGGCTCAACTTTGAAGCAGCTTGGCAGGTCCTGGGCATCCGTCGGGTTTCAGGTCAACATCCATGCCATTGGCGACCTGGCAAATCGCTACGCCGTTGATGCCTTGGAGGCCGGCCTTCGAGATGTTTGCCCGGATGGGGACCTCGCAGATTGCCAGGCTCGACGACGATTCCGCATCGAACATTCGCAAATTATCCACGAGGATGACCAGAAGAGGATTCATGATATTGGTATTATCCCATCCATTCAACCGACACACGCAACCTCCGATATGAAGTATGCGGAGCTACGACTCGGTGCAGAGCGCACCAAAAGAGAGGCGTACCGGATGCGGTCGCTTCTGGACGTCCACCCGATCCTGGGCAGCGACTTCCCCGTCGAGCCGCCCAATCCCTTCCAGGGTATCTACGCCGCCGTCGCTCGCAAGAGCCCTCACACGGGGTACGGTGTCAACGGAAGTGAAGATGGCTGGCACACCGAGGAGGCATTGAGTTTGGACGAAGCCTTGCTCGGGTTCACCAAGGGCCCTGCTCACGGCGCCTTCATGGAAGGACGAGCCGGCCTCATCAAGGAGGGCGCGCTGGCTGATTGGGTTGTGCTGGACCAGCCTCTGGAGGACTTGGACCTTGACGAGCTGCGGGAGCTTAAAGTCAAGGAGACCTGGGTGGGCGGAAAACAGGTCCACGCGCGGGACTATGAATGATGGACTACCAAGGTTCACGATGAATGATTTTTTAAAAGAGTTCTCTCGCCTAGGTTCCAATCTCACCTTTACATACCCAAGACCGCCGTTGATAGGCGGATGTTTCTATACCAGCGACTTTTCTATACCGAAGAGACATAACTCTAGGAACATAACTGAGACCGACGACCTGCGCAATTTATTCATAGCTTCCGCTCTTACCGGATGGATGGCTCTCGTCCAGCCCACTCTAGAGATAGTAAGGTAGCCAGGGACACAAACGACGAAGTTTTCTAGGTCAGTGCCCATCATATCCCTCAACCATCTCACGCTCGAGTATGGGCAACGCGGCGCATGTATGTCTCTGCAAGATGGTGCACCCTCCCAGCCAATGGCCCGTCTTTCTGACCGATGTTCTCATCGGAGATGCCGTTGAAAGTTTTGTCATGAATGATATAACGTATCTTTTATGCCTCTCATTTCTGCTTCGGTATTAACTTCTAAACGCTCAGGACAATCGACCATCTCCAAACAGCAGTATATGCATCAGAGAATACTCTACAGCTGCAACAAAAGTATCAAGAACGACACTAAGAAACGGTCACAATGCCTTCAACACCATCAACAAACAGCGCGGCAGCCGCCCGAGCCTCGAACACGTTCGCACTTGTGTTCCTGATGCTCATGGTCTTCACATTGACCTTTGGTGCCTCCATGGTACAGGTTTCCATCCAAGGCTACCTACGACAGGTCGTCTGCCGACAACAGTACGGCCTACCCGAGAAAACTCCCATCGAGAACGGTCTATGTCACACCGACGCCGTAGACAAGCAGCTCGAGTGGGTCCAAGTCGTCGCCCAGGTCTGCCAGTCCGCCGGCGGCCTCCTATCCGCCTATCCCCTGGGCAAACGGTCCGACACCAAGGGCCGACGCGGGGCTTTCATCTCGGGCGCCTGCCTCTGGGGCCTCTTCTCGGGTATCCTCGTCACGTCCGTTCAGATCTCATCATGGGGGCGTAATCTGGTTCCTCATCTTCGCCATCGGCGCCGGAAAGACGTGCGTCGAGGTCGCCGTCTTGGCCATGACGAGCGACACCACAGACGACCGCCAGCGCTCGAAACACTTTGGGCTCGTCATCTTCTCCGCCCTGAATGGACTCGTGGTCTCGAATGTCATCCACAGGTACGCCCCGCCAATGGCCCTCGAAATCGCGGCCCTCATCGGCTGCGTCGCCTTCTGCGTCGGCACCACCTTCATCGTGGCGTTTCCCGAGCTTCTATACGCGCAGCACGAGGCCTTCAGAGGCGACCCGTCCCCAGAGATCTTCTCAGCAAACCAGGCCGCGGTCCGGCCGCTTCACCGCGTCGTCTCCACCCTGATAACCTACCGCGCCCTGCCCCTTCTCGCCATCCTCAGCCTCGTCCTCACCTTGGCGAGAACGGTGCCCTCCTCTCTCGACTTCTACTTCGCCGCCAGGTATATCCCGACCGGGGGCCTCGAGGATCCCCCCAACTCGACATATCGCGGCGGCGTCGTGAGCTACTGGGCTCCCTTAATCGGCATGGTCCTCATCACCTGCCTCCTCCTCCCCTCAATCTACTGCTTCCCCAACCGCCGACGGGTCTCAGGCGACCGCATCGCGCTCCGAGACTACGGCCACCTCCTCGTCGCAACAGGCCTAGTAGTCTTCACGAGCGCCACAGCCCTGTACAGAAACCAACTCGTCTTCCTCGTCGGCATGGTCTCCGCGACGGCCATCGCGACGACAATCCCGGGCCAATGCTACTCCCTGATGCTGTACGGACTCGGCGTCGCCGTGCGCGCAAAGTACGCCGGCCGGCTCTTCGGCCTCACCGCGACGACGCAGTGCGCGACGACGCTGGTCCTCGGTCCGGCGATCGGTCTCGCCACGCGGGAATCGCACTGGAGCGGCGTGGCGTTGGCGGTGGTCTTTGTCGCTTCGGTTGTCTTCTTTGTGGCCGTGTGGGCCGCCGAGGCGGTTTGTGCGGCTCCGATGTATGAGCGGCCCGGCGCCGGGGGTGGTGTTGAGGCTGGGATCGAGCTTTTGGATGTGGGAGGGCTTGCGGCGCCTCCTCCGGCGTATGCGGCTCACCAGGAGGATCGCCCTGCTCCGATGCCGATGCCGATAATACGTTCAATTTCGCCAAGGTACGTAGAAGAATGGCGTCTCGTTTCTTAGTCGGTGTGGAAGCGTCACACTGTTGAGGGGTTCACTGGGGAAACTGTGTAAAGTGGCCTCTATCGTGCGGCTTTTGCAACGTATGCTGCTTCATGTACTTTGTTGGTCGCTTTCGATACAGGAAGGTTAATTGTACGTGAGGGACGTTATATAGTGGGAGAGATCGTGAGATAACCGTCATTATTTGCGAAGCATCGGAAATGTTGTTCAGTGAGCTTTGGAGTTGCGACGCTACCGAATTCTCTTGGAAAGCATAGTGGCACCGGTCAGGCAAGTTCTCATCAGATTGTGGCTGAGGTCATTTTATTTTTCCAAACAGAGCGATGCTGGGGCGTACTAGTAGTGTGATTAAGTGTAACAACCGATAGAATGAATATAGAAAAGCCTCTTAAAATGGAATCTTACTCCTGGCTATGCGTTTCTCATGCTTGAGAGAGTCTTAAATCCTCCATTACGCATAACCTCAAGTTCTACAAGGGTAGGTAAACGCCCGACTCTTGCGTAGGCTCCTAGTAGAGAAGAATTTGTATGCCAAAGTGTAAATGATGAGCGAGACTGCTGCAGCCAACACGACTTGACAAGAAAGGCTCGTCTCATCGTTGAGAAGAATCATGCCTCGGTGTGATCTTCAGGCTCAGCAAGCGGTTTCTGTCCGTACACAACATCGCTGTTTGACGGCAGATATTAGCATCTCATCCTTTGAGCGACCATGGGGCTTGCTTGGCCTGCCGAGAAGGTATCTCAGAACAGGAAAAGAGTAAACTCACAGTTCAACCAACGCACGGAAAATTGGCGGATTGGCCTTCAACTCGTTCCTCACGCCCATGATCTCCACTTCGACCTCCTTCCTCGTCCGACCAAGGACTTCAGTAAACATCTTCATCGAAAACCCCTCCAAGCCATCAATCGTCAGGACCAGGTTCATCATACCCAGGTCCTTGTAGTGCTGGTCCTTGGCCCAGGGCGTCAGCGGCGCCTTGTACTTCTCTGCCGTGACGTTGGTGAAGCCCGCCTCCCGGACGCGGGCCTCGTGTCCCGGGCCAGGGGTCGGGTCACGCCCAACGGCCCGGATGGCGGCCAAAAAGGCCTGGTTCCACTTGTACGTGGCGTGGTCTTGGGTGTAGCTGCCATCCTCGGAGTAGAATTCCGGGTTCATGTCTAGGAACTCGACCCAGCCGCCCGGGTTTAGGTGGCTGATTTTTGGGCATTTGCGTTAGCGAATAATCTAATGCTCGATGCGCACTCTAGAGACCCGGGGAAGGGGCAGGAAAGGTGAAGGTGAGGTGGTTTACTCGTAAATGTTGCGGACCAGCTTGGGCCAGTCCGTAATTGAGGCTGTCATGTAGCGGCACATGATGAAGTCGTACTTTTTGGTCTCAACCCAGGGACTCTCAACGTCGTCGATCTCAAACCTGACATTAGGAGGTGCCCTTTTCATTCCGTTAGTCATGGTCAAGGAAGTAGCATCCTGGAGAACTAACCATTGGGGCTGAATGGCGCTCAAGTCATTCCCGTAAACCTGCGCCATGATATTAGCCTTCATGGCAAGTGAGTAGACCGGACACGTATCGCGACTCAGCTTACCTCGGCGCGTTCAAAGATGTCGCCCATTTCAACAGCCCCTGTAAAAATGTTTGGTCAACCATTTCCACTCTCTTCACATCAAGCCATGTTTTGGAATGGATTTCTTCATACAAAGTCCGGTGCCTGTCCCGATATCTAGAATGGAATGGATTTTGTCCCAATAGAGAGGGGCATGGAAGAGTTTGCTGCCCGTCGGTCGCCTTGACAATCATCGCATGCGCGAGATCAAGCCGGTCCATTTCCTTTTAAAGGTTTTGGGGATTTGTCAAAACGTTTGGCTTTCATTTAGGTAGGGCTGGACTCGTAACAAACCTCGTCATTGGGGAACTTGTAAGCTGCGATTTCATGTCAGACATTGCCGAGAGGAGAGCAAAGCCGCAGGAGGAATGGTTTGAACATACTGCCCGGTCTGTAAGCGTGATAACGGCGTCCATACTCGACAGGGTAATCAACAACACTTGACGATAGCGAGGCGGTGGAATTGGAACTGGAAGTGTGAGTGCCTGGTTAGCACTGGACGTCCATCACTCCGTCATTAGTGGGCGGAGCATCGTACATGCGTTCATCAATTGAGGAGGTATCATCAGTTGTCTAGCGGTTATCCATGTCAGCGATGCACCTATCTGCTACGATCAAACCCGGATAAGGTCACCAACATTGCCTTCTCCCTCGGGATCAAGAGGGGCCGTTGCATTTGTGATTGGGGTTGGTGCCGTCGTCGCTGTTGGGTTCTCGACCGGTACGGCAGCTGGAGGTCAACTGGCCATTTCTGTGTTCTGATTTCCTTCCTCAGCTCACCGAGCACTTCAACTTGGGACAGGTAAAAAGAAACAAAGCCTCAGCAGAGAAACAAAGAGATAGAATAGCCCAACCCAAAGTTCCATCAGTATAGACTCTCCAGGGCCCAGGATTGAAGGAGGGGAGGGGTTTTGTAGGCATCCAACCTGGTCGTCCCCATAGTTTGGCGGCATCGGTTTGACGAAAAAAGCTGCAGAATCTCCAGAACCAACAGAGCGGCAGCTTGAAAGCGCCCAATTGGCTCTGGCCGCTTCCATTCTCGCATGCACATGCAAGTCAAACTCGGGTTGACGCGTCTTTTATCGTCCAACATCCGACGCCCATTGCATGTTTGCCAACTGCCTAGCTCCCCCCCTTCTTCCGCCTAGATGGGAAGGCGGTTGTGCCATCCTTGCGGATTGACAAATGCAGACGTTCAGTTACCAATACCCTGGCGTTGGCCGATGTTTGCTTCGCAATCTTTCGGAACTGCAGCTGCTTCTTTATCTAGAGTCATCAGACTTGGAAGGAAATCACCCTTACCTTCGTCTTTAGTGTCGATGCCTGGCTCCATTGTGGCCGATGATATCTCGTTAACGAGACCAGGCGATGCAGCGCAAACCATCGGATTATTCCTAGCCACGTTCCCACAGACAAGAGAGCAGACGCCCATACCAGTCTCGCAATAAACGTGTAATCGTTCGCTAAAGAAGCCGCTATCAGGACAATTTTTCCTCGGCCGAATCCTCGCTCTTTATCTTTACCCCCTTCCTTCCCAGCTTCAAAGGAGAAAGAGCGCGACGACCCAACCACATCTCATACCATCACGTAAGTCCTTTTCTCTACCTATAAGAACAAGGCTCGACTGCTCTCAGAAGCTTCACTTCACCCAATGGAATTGGTACTGCTCGGTGGCCTAGGGCCTGTGAAATGAAGGTAGGTGGATCCCGCCCTATACCTCTCAAGCATTGCAATCTATAGTCATATCAGGACATCGGTACTAACATCAGCTGCAGAAGCAACATCATACACCTTTCACCACTACCGTCGTCCGAATACTATATTTACTTGAAGGAACACGGCCAGAGACGAGGTCATGGAAGGCGGCAGGTCTACTGAAGGAAATCCTCTAACGTGGTTGGCTGAAGAGAGACCTTGTTTTGGGGGAAGCTTCCCAGTTTATACTACTTACTTAGTCCCTCTGCTACCCACTACAGACGATGAGCCCGCGTGAGCTACTGCGTCAAGTCCTGAATGTGTTAGTCTTGAGTCGGCCATGAGTTGAACTCACTTCTACTGTGGATGTCTGATTAGCCAAGTTATGGATCTCAGGATGAGGGCTTCTGCCTTACCCGTGGCTCGAGAGGTATAGGGCCCAAGCATTTTGGAACAACGTCCATCCATATATGGCTTTGCCTTCCTCTACCGACAGTCAACTCTTCCCTAAACAGATTATTGTCTTGAAACACTTTGTAATGTTCACTTGCTCCTTGAAAAAGTACTAACAATGCCAGTACATGGAGGTCACGAGAGGAACACAGACCTTGGTAGCATGAGTCACTGGATGAAGAGTAGATTCCGTAAAACAGTGGATGAATTGTCACATTTCTATTCAATGGACATATCGGCAAAGGCGTGAATGGGTTGACATAAACCCCTACATTCATTCCATGACCCTTCCATAAGTAAAAGGTAAATATCCACGACGCCATTGCCTATCCATAATAATCCTTCCCATCCAAAAGCCGTCCCTCGGTCTGGTCCCGTAGGCCTGTTCTGACCGGGTCGTCTAACAAAAGGTAGATACGAGAAATAAACGTGGGAGGTCGTCCCTGATATATAGGCAAGTAAATAATTGTAAGTAAATCGTGATCAGGGCCGACGCCCATCATATAGTTTTCTGTTTTTCATTGGTTTTTGTCTTTTCTTAATCTTTCGTGGCGTGTTCATCGCCGAAGGGACTACGTCCCCGCTCGTGAGAACTTGTCCTTTGAGACCGTCTGTCGGGGCCGGCAGCGGCTCGCCTTGTTGCCTCTTCGATCACCGCACTGAGACTGTGGTTGCTGCGAACAGCTGCTGGTGATGGTTCAGGAGGGTCAGAGAAGGGACCTTGGTCGACTGCCGGGCTTTCATCGATAACAGTCACAGCAGCAGATTCGCGGGCGGGCGCGGTGGTGCTAGGTGGCAGGGGGGTGCCCGGTGCAGAGATCTCTTCTGATGTTGATGATGCCTTGGATCCAACGCTGACTTGCTTGGGACCGTTGCCGTTGCCTACACGGACAACCTGCACTCTCTGAACGGGGGCGGCGGTGGCAGTGTTGGCGTTGTTCAGGAAGGTAGATCCGACGCTGAATGTGCTGTCACGGCTCTTGGGGCGGCCAGGAGCGTATTTTTCATAATCGACGCTGGGGACTGGAGGAGTGCTGCTGCCGTTGGTGCCGACACCCATTGACTTGACACTGACCACAGCGGCCTTGGCGCGCATGCCAGTCTGGGCGGGTGCTACAACAACCGCATTCTTGCCGTAGATGGTGGAAGCGATACTGGGAGCGATGCTAGATCGGGGAGCGTACGAGGTTCTTGCAACAGACGTGCGGTCAGAGTAGCCTGAGATGCCAGAGTAGGTGGAATCGCGCAGTTCACCAGGGACGAAGAAGTGTTGCTCCTCGTACGGTGACGGGCTGCTTGCAGCGGAGTTGGAGGCGTGCATCGGAATGGGGGGAACAGGAGGGACGAGCAGAGTTGGTGAAGTGGGAGTGGCTCTGTTCGTGACGCCGGGGATGTAGGCGATCTGGATTATGTTGGAGGCGCGGGTGAGGACTGTTGATGCAATCGAGTGAACGGTGTGTGTTGAGTCGCGGTTGGTTTGTCGTGGCTCGCCAGTACTCTTCTCGTTGATCGTCTTCTCGTGAGTTGTCTCGGCATAGGACTCCTGGATAATTGACTGTCTCTTCGTCTTGATAAAGAACCTCCAGACGAGGTATGTGGCAATTGCAATGACAACGAGACCGCCGATGACACCACCAACAATGGCGCCCGTGTTGGGTTTGCTGCTTGATGATGAGGATGATTTGCTGTCGTCCTTGGCGCAGATGGCCTGGGCACAGGTATTACATGTCGGGATGGTGAAGGAGCAGAACTCGTCGGACTTGCAGTTGGTAGGGCATGTCGGTGCCTTGTCTTCGCACTTGAGGCAGCCGTTCTGTCTCGGGAGGATAACTATGGAGGCCATGTCAGCAAATGGGGTCTGATAGGGGTGACGGTGATGACTGGTGACGCACCAGCTTCCAGCTCCTCGAGTGAGCGGAGGTGAAGGTTAGGATCGAAGTGAGCCATGATGATGAACTACACTATGACTTTTGGGATGAAGTGGAAAGAATAGCCAGCGACGCTGATCGAGCGGTGCCGATCGACGAAGCGAGACCGTTAGGCGTAGAAAGTGTCGATCAAATCGGAGGGGGTGATCAGACGGTCGAGGCGAGTGGACCGTTGGTCGGTACCAAGAAAAGCGGGAGTCGGGGAAACAGCAGTAGATATAGCGAATGGATAGAAAAAACGTCGGGTAGATGAGACAAGTCGCAGTGTGCTAGGGGTTACGAATACACGTTGAGGAATGGATTCGTGGCGAGGCGAGGCTGGCGTGTGGGCGTTTTGCTGGACTGGAATGGACGGGTCGATGTGCGAAGTGCGAGGGAATTCGGAGCGGATAGAGTGAGAGTGAGAGTAGTAGTAGTTGGGATAACGAGTGGACGAAGAGACTAGCTCGGCATTTGAGGTGGTGGTAAAAAGAGGCGACTAGGCGATTGAAGTGAAAGACATCAACAGCGGTTTGTCGTTTGTCGGCCGCAAGTCGACGTCGACGGGTTGACGGGGCTTTGAATGTCTTTTGTCGTCGACGGGATCTTGTCTGGGTAGGCGGCGACGGGGAACCTGGAGATGTTGGGTGGAGGAAAAGGACGGACGTGGGAAAGGGCTGCTATGAAGGAAACGAAAGTGAGCAGAGAGAGAGAAGCAGGCAAAGACAGACCGGCGCTGGGCTGGTCTTGGCTCGGCTTAGCTTGGCTCGCGCTGACTGGATCGACTGGGGGGGGGGGGGGGGGGGGGGGGTTGAAGTGAAGGGAACGAACGGGACGGGGAGGGGGGGAGGGATGAATGGATTGGGATGAGATGGTTGGAAGGATGGCAGATGGAGGATGGATGGATGGGATGGTGGAGCCCAGCACAGTAAGGTGAGAAAGAGAGTGAGATGGGCTGCGTCCAGCTTGGGTTTGGTACAGGAGGAGTGCTGGTTCTTCACGGGCGTTCGGCGGCAGCAGGCGGAGCGCAAGCTGAAAGGGGAGACAGACGGGGGAACCAAGGACGAACACCAACAGTGGGGAGGGCACGAGAGAGTGGAGGTACTCTGGTACCTTGCCTTAGTAAAGCAGGTACGTACCCTACATCCGAGTGATGGAGATGGAAAGAAAGACCTGATGGAAAAGTGGACTGGAGGTAGGCACGACTTGGAAAAGGCGCAGGTGGGAGGAGCCACTTTGAGGGCAAGAGCAAAGAGAGGGGGGAGCGAATCTGCGGGACACAGGCACGAGATTGAGAGGGCAGGGGTAATGCTGTTGGCGAAACGTGAGGACCGGGGCAGGTTCCCTCTCTAATTGGCCATTATCCCCAGATGGCAAGAGCAAAATGGGGGCACTGCTCGGTTGTGGATCCCTTGATTCCCCCGACACCCCTGGCTAGAGCCGGGCGAGGGTCCAAGGTCTGGACTGTGCAGCCCGCCCATCATCTCCTCCTCGCTGCATACTGCAAAGTGCCAACACTAAGGTACCTGCACAAGTTACCAGTAACCTCGACCAAGGCAGTAAAGTGCCCAGAAACCACTGCACCGTCGGCACCACCATCGACCCTCCAAGTCCCCGTACCTCGCGCCATACACAGTAGTCGCTAATGTACGGAGTACTAAGGTAAGGTAATCAGTGTGGTGCGCGCTGTTGGTGACTTTGTGGACATTGCCCGGCGCGCCATTTTCCATCTTTTCCTCACCAGAGTACGTACCCTGCACTGAGGTGCGTAGGTACCAATCAGATCACGCCAGAGCTGGAATTGACCCATCTCCACCGTCTTACGCACTCCCCACGACTCGACAACACCATCTGCGGAATATCACTTCCATCCTCTCGATTGAGCGATATTGGGAGAGGCTCCCATCCTGATGATCCTGATGGCTGCAACTGCAGACTGCAATCTATCGTCTGCTTCTTGCCCCCCGCGTGCCCTACGGCTACGGGTTACCTCCTCCCTCTTTGCGGTTTGGCTGTAGGGAGGCACCCATGCTCACTCACTTCGCAGAATGCTTGGTCAAACAAGCGAGCTATGCGGTTGCTACGCAGCTCGGCAGTGGCAGCCCATCATCCATGGACCATGGACCGTGAACCATGGTTGCCATCCATCCAGCATTAATGTTGTTCGTTCAATACAATAGAGTTCGTGCGTCCCAACCTGACAACCCGCCCGTCGTCCGATACGAGCGAACGAGACATGACACGGCCTTTCACTACTAAATCGGTAAACACAAGCTCTGGCACGAAATATCCTCGTCCCAAAAAGGTCAGACCGATTATCGACAAGTTTGACCTCTTGTGAAAATGGGGAACAAAAAGGGACACCATTCCACACTTTTCCACAATTATCATGTTTCCGAATCTCGCAAGACCTGAAGAAACCCGGCCTCTTACCAAACTCCTGTTAAGCTTCAATTCTCCTGGTACGGGTCGACCCTTCTTTCGTGCCGTCGACGTCGCACCGTCCCAGCTCGGGTACGTTTGGCATCCGGATCCCTTACAACTTTGGTACTGCCTGCAGCGAACCTCTGTCGGCCCATGCAGCAGTACACCACGCCAGAAACATCACGATTGCCGACTCAGCCCCCTCGTTCCGACTCAGAAGATCTCAAGATACGGACTCAACTGAAACGAATGGGGTTCAGTGACAGCGACAGCGGGACGATAGCATCACGGGCGAGCTAATCGCGCCAGAAGGCCGTCAAAGAGGACCGTGAGGGTTGACAACCAGGGCCGACGATAGTCACGACTCACCCCAAACGCCGTCCCGTATCAGGTCTCCCTGTCTACTTGCCTATTATGATTTGCAAAGACAAAAAACCCACATTGTTTTTCACCATTAACCAGCGTTGAGCATCGAGTCTTGACTCTCGAGTACGCTCCTTGCTTAACCTGTGCGCCGTGTCTCCAACATCGTCCCCGCTGCCCCTGCTTGTCCACGAACCGAATACAGTCAAGCGGAAGCCAAATCGTCAGGGCCCTGCGACATGTTCGGGGGCCGTCATAGAGGAGGGATCTTACCTAGCTCGAAATTCCGTATTCTGAGGCATTGGATCCGAAACTTCGAAACAGACAGCGAGAACGTGCGTTTGTGTGACCCTGGAGGCCATGAGAGCTCTAGACCACGAGATCTGCGCTCATCACTCTAGGGATTTTCGTCTTGGCCTTTTGTGAATGGGGAGACAACGGTAGAGTTCCCCCTTCTCATCTGACAGCGAGCAGCGCTAGTCGCTCGAGACTGAGAGAAAGATGTTTGTGGGACCGGGGGCTTGGGGCGATCACTTCCAACTTGCACATAATCCACCTGCCGCTCTCCCGCCGAAAGTGCTCAAGCTTTGAGCAATGTTGCGACGGGCACCATCGTATACCACCGCATCGCACCGCGCGCACGCACGCTCCCATGGCTCCCTCGACCTCTGGGTACGGAGTAATGCAGGGCATATCTTAGTGTCCGGCGGACCAACCGCCACGCCGCGTGGTGAAGATGGTGGCAGACGTCGCCATTCCAGGTCTCATTCGTACCGGAGCGCTAAAACTGCGTTGCGCATGCCTCCGGCAGGCCGCAGGACGGCATTTCGTGCGTATTGTTAGCACTGCATAAATGTGGCTTCGGACTTTCGCCTGCTGACTGTGCGTCCTCTCCTACTCGGTCTTGGTATTTTTCTATCGCTCCTTTCCCACCGTCAACTCCGATCGGTTATAGACTGGGCAAGGCGAGTCAAATTAATTTGCTCCAACTTTGCCAATGCATTTGATATTTGGTTAGTCATGCAGCTGCACTCGCTGCCAGTCTGGGTAAGCAATGAGATGAACCAAAAGCCACCTTGCAGAGAAGAGAAATTCGATGGATGCAGAGGGATACGTTGGTTCGCCAAGGGCAAAATGCTGTCAAAGAAGCAAACCTGCCAATCCTTCATCCAAGTCTTTTCTCTTCTGGGATCGGGTGTCTCAGCCAATCATGGGCTTTCATCCACCGGAAAGAAGCAACGTCTAAATTCTATTTACCCTCTCCTTCCCTGTAGGCTGTCAGAGCTCTTTTCTCGCAATCGTTGAGTCTTTCTTAGTCTTTTTTTTTTTTTTTTTTTAAAAAAAAAAACCCTCTGCATTGCCGTCTTGATTAACCACCCAATTAATTACCTCTCAGACCAGGGGATCTTTATTTATGCTTTCCTTTCCACGACACTCTCCACTTTCCGAATCTAGCCTCCATGACATCTAACCAATGGAACACCAATCGCAAACTTCGCAAACTGGGTGCTTTGCAAGCTCCCGCCCGCGGGATGTTGGGCCGCTGTGAAAGCTACCTATGTTTTTTTCTGGAGTTACCCCAGATCCGGACTTTCAGACCAAAAAAAAGGGTCATCATGACCTTTCGTTCCTTTGTCCATTTTTTGCTTTGCTTTTTGTGAACTGTTAGTGTAGTTTAATGACGCGGGCAAAGGCGGGCACCCGCCTCTGTGGAGGAAACTACTGTCCTATTTCCGCGCCACTCTTTCGTCCCTTGGAAAACTTTCGATGAAGCTGCAGAACGTAGTGTCGACTCTTGTCTGCGCGGTTTTCTGGAGTGGTGCACAAAGAAAAGGCTTGGCAGGTCTTAGCCGCTGAAGGCAAATCAGTCTCTCTTCATCGAAGTCGGTATGCGAGTTCCCCCCCTCCGTTGGACACACGAGGTTGAGGCCCCCCCCCCCGCCTCTCCCCGCCGTTATCGCTAGTCTTACACCGCGATACCCGTTCCGGCGCCGGGAAGACTTCTCGGTTCCGGATCCGGACGAAAGAAGGAACTACCGACCTTGTCAAATGACGTCCATTGGTAAAGTTCTTTTTTTGCATGAATTTTTTTTCTATCGTCTTGAACAGAAAACTAGGATGAGACATCACGTCCGTTGGACACGCGGCGAGCGAGATCGATGCGGCGTCGCCTTTTCCGGCGTCGTGGGTGTGTGTACTCGGGAGTTGTAAGGGCCGGGGCTTTTTTTTCTTCTTCCCGTTCCTCTTCTTCGAGAAGTTCCTTGGGGCTAAGAGGTGGCCTTGGGACTAGAAGGGCGGGTGGAATTTCCTCTCGACTTCCGTTGAGCGTGTGCGAGTTGAGACGTGGAGCGGTCTTGTGTTGTGGCGATACTGAATCCGGCGTTCAGCGTTCGTCATTTGGGGATGGTGAGGGGTTTTCTCCCGACCTGGAAAGCCTCGCCTAGAAAGACCAGGTCTCCGATTCTAGAAGAGTTTGGAGAAGGAAGTTCGCTGAACGGTGTCGTTCGACACGTGATGGAACGTACCGAGACGGTGTACGGGTGCGGGTGTGTTACCGTTTCCGGCGGTCTTGGATGGGTTTAGGGATGAACGGCTGTTCGTTTCAGGGTGAGGCTGAGGGAGAAGTGGTGTCGTGGTTTATCAGCCCTCGTTGAGGATGGGTTGGCGTTTTGAGTGTGCTGTTCTTGGTGGGATGCTGTCCTTGGGGAGGGGTTTGAGTCTCAGCTGGAGATGTACCCAAGTCTGAGTTTTGATGTTTTTCTGTTCCGGGTTGAATGGCTTCTTGGTGGTGGAGGCTATGCTTTCTTGTGTTACCTTGCCTTTGATATCCTCTGTGAAAAGCTTCGGCGGCACGGAGTGCGAGGTCAAAGGATGGGAGGCACCGGTGCTTTGAAAGAGGGGAGATTTCTAGTTCCAGGTTTTTGGAAACTTGCAGTCTACGCCTTTTGACAAAGTGATGTTGCAATCTTACGTGATGGATAGTGAAGTCCAGACTGCCCACCCGGGACTATTCGATTTATGGGCATGTACAGAGAGATCCATGGCCAAGGAATCTTGTCAACTCTCTAATACGACAAGACTATCTCAGAATCTCGTGGTTCAGATTCCTCTCGTTTGATCCGTTTAGAAAGCCCAAAATTATGGGTTTCATTACTGGCTTCGCTTTATATGTGACATACTCCAAGGATTATACGTCTTTGCATGACTTGTACTTCACACACTAACCCCTCAGCTTTCGTTTGATCCCAGATTCGTCCAGCATCGTTGTCCGATGAAGAGCATTTCACCGATTGTAAACCTCTTCGTGGAGGGGTCGAGACACATCTTCCTATCCGTCAAACTGAGATATAACTCAATAGGGGGGCTCTTTGATTAATAGTTCCTTATTTAAATTTAATTACCCTAAGTTGTAACTTTTTATTGTTTTCTAGTTTGCCTGGGCCTGGCCTCAGAGCCCGATCGGTCTTGGATAGCATCCATCCCTCAAGGTAAAACACATACCGCTGTTATAATATTTGCGCCATACGAAAACGAAATAATTGCACAATGCCCCTAGACTCGTATCTAACACAATGAAGTGATTTTAATGTGCGTTACCCAATACCACTCCAAGGCACTTGTACTTGTCTTGCCCCCGTTGTACATCTGCTACTACCCGACTCCGTTCTCCTGTCGTGGCCATACCTGCCAGTTCTGAGCCTGCAAGTAAGAGCCGGGCATTTGCAAAAGGCCTGATGCTTATATTCATAGCCATGAAACTTGACCATGTTCCCAATTCTTGTGTTGACGGAGCTCGCGCCACGTAACCGACTGACCGAACAAACAACGCTCACCTCGCGGAAGTACTTCCAACTTTTCCAAACCTTTCATCGATGTCTGTTCCATCAGCAATGGACCAAATGCCTACTGGTACCGCTGGTGGTCATACAACAACTGAAGCAGTGCTACATACATCATTTTCACGACCTATAATGATATTAGATATACTGACATGTGTGCCACGAAACTGGCAGCGACGCCAGGAACAGATGAAGATATGAGTCGGCCTGCAAAAGACCTACATGCCGAGCCGATCTCGATGGGGGAAGATATAATAATCGTGCCTTCCCTACCTTCCCTGTGGTCCCTTCATCCAATATCTTTCCCACTGCCTGGGTAAACACACAGATAGGAAAGACCCCATACAGACCCCCTCAAGTCTATTCCTGTCACCAGCCAGCAGGCGCCCCTTTGGGGGTCAGGTCAAAACTGGCTGGGTGGTGGAGTAATTCGAGTCCACAAGCCTAATCGGTGAAGGCTTCAAGAGGTCCCGTGTTCGAGTCCCAGCGTGTACACCCAGAGATGTAGCCCCCATTCGCCACGGGGGGGAGGGGGGGGGGGGGGGGGGGGGGGTGAACTCTTTTGATTTTTTGTAGGTTTTGAGATTGGAAATGGATTCGTTTTGTGCCCTATGTGGGTAGAAAAGTAGTCGTTAAGGTCGATTGTAACTTTTCCTTCCTGTAGATATTGTAGGAAGGTGTACGTGGCGCGGCCGTGGATTCCTCTCGAAGGAGAACAGGAAAGAGAGGGCTTGGAGGATGGGGGATGGAAGCTCTGGAGCCGTTTGCAGACATTAAGGAAGGCCAGCCGCCGCGACCAGGGGACGTTCCTGGTAATGCAGTCCACGAATCCGCCTCGCCTCTCATATTTCATGTTAGATGTGTCGAGGGCCATGACGTTGAAATATAGACCCCGTAGCCAAGAGAAAAGAGCTCAGAGAAAGAGTAGGAAATTGAGACGTGCTTTGGCCTCAGTTGGTGATATTTATGTCGTTAGGATCGTGGTCCGACACCCGCCAGTAACGTGTGAGCTTAGCATAACAACCTCGATGCAGACACTAGCCCAGAGACAATTAATACAAGACCACTATATGAAAATATATGCTCTAATTCGTGGCAGTGAGGACTAGCATCGGCGTATACATCCAGAAGATCGGCGCGTCTATCGTCTGACTCGTCTCCGAAAGAGATAGGAAGGAGTCGTATACGGAAACCTAGTTATCTAGTAAGTAGACGTAGATATACGACCAACTCTGCCACAGGACGACGTAATAAGATCTCTTCATGATGCCACTATGGCGATGACATGTTAATGAAAGCCGAGGAATATTGGACTCATCGAAGATGTTCGCAGTATGATCAGGTACACAAACCAACAATCGTCTTGCTGAAAAATCAGAAGCCTGGTAACGAAACACACCATTCCATCAAGACAGACAGAGTTCTCGCCTCGGCCGAGACTCTCGCCGTTTTCAGATCCAGCTAGATAGATATCCTCTCGTTAAGAACATCCTTGTGATCACCGACTCCATGGGACATCAAAGCGACTAAGCAAACATGGACATGACAATTTCTTGAATCTCACTCCTCACGGGTCTCTGAGACTTGATATCAATGAGAGACTCGGTCAACAGAGCCATAGGGCCTCGTTCCCTATACTTCGACTTGCTATTTCTGGGCCGTTGAAGTTTTCAGGATCTAGTAGAATGGTTCGCTTACCCATCACAACTACCCCTCGCTGATAAAATTGCCTTGACCAAGACAACCTTGTATCTTGATGAGGATAACGGTATTGCGAATTATATCCAAGAGCTCGGCAATAATAAAAGGCCTTCCGACGAGTTCGAGAACCCTCATTTCCCGCCGACTCAGGAAGAGCTCTGCTTCAAAAAGCTGTCTTCTGAGCCCCTCATAGCAGCCACCTAGAACTGCAAACTTCCAACGGCAAATCCAACCAGGATATTCCCGCCTAAAGCCCGACGTCCCAAAGACCGTCCAAGATTTCAAACTTTCCTTCAATGATGGCCCCGTCTCAGCCCAGAGGTAATCAACAGACCCGCAAGCCGGCCCATTGCGCTCCTTGGTCCAACATCACCGAACTGTTCAACCACTTCCAACGTCTACAAGAGAGCCACTCTACGCCAAAAGAATACAATATAAGTAAGAGACGGGCCTTTTTCCTCCCCTTCGGTTCCCCAGGACCCAGAACCCCCCTAGTCAGTCATTACAAACATGTCAGATCTCACCAAGCTAATCCGGGGAATCCGATCCGATCCGATCCTGTGTTCCCCCCCGCAGAAAGCGTGTGATAAGTCACGTCAAATATGACACCGGGGGCCGGTCTCCGTCGACAAAATATGTCATACCAAAGTCTTGGCCGTATATCATCCAATGCACCCCCGTCATTGCCACGGCGAAACTCTATGTTAAGAACAAGACCAGGAAAATGACATCAAGAGCTTATCAATCGTTTGAAGTGAACAATTCTAACTTTTAGTTCGCATCAGAAACATGGGTGGGCCACTCTCGGAATCCAAGAAAGGAAAAATTCAAAGATTTAAAAACACAGAATTTGCAAGAGAGAAAAAAAAACAACAACCGGACGAACCACTGTCAGACTGTGTTAGCGAACCGAATTGACTTCATACTTCCCGAGGCTCCGTATTTTGCTCTGACTAGCAAAACGTCAAGAAAGCAAGCAGGTCCCCGGCACGAGCCCGCATGATGTCAGTTAGTAGGCTCGTTTGTTGCAAACACCACCTCATGCGGCGAATTAACTGTATCCTGTCAACGGCCCAAAATAAGCATAGAAAAGACACGAAATACCATTCTCCAGTCTTCATCCGACTCTGGCCCGGGTGTAGACTATGTCGGCATGGTAATGGGCGGACAACGGCTTTGGATCTGCAAAGTGAAGCTGCATGTACCAAATTGCTTCTCAGTCCCAGTCTCCAGAACCTCCGGTCCGGACTCTACGTTGCGGACTTCTTCCACAATGGCATCAAGAACCTCGGCGTCGTTTGACTTGGCGGGACATTCATGCCAATGATGGGAATCGACGGAAAAGTAGAAACCACCGAAAACTCAATCCGATCTCTTCGGTACGCGGAAGAGCTTTCATCAACCACACGAGCGACCTTGCGTACTTGTATTTCTTGTAATACCGAGGCAAAGCAGACGCGAGTCAGGAAGCTGGGATGCCAGCTTCAGTTGTCATGGTCGACCTCATCGCACCCTGCGCCTCACATCCAACCTCACACATGGAAGGCCTCCATCCAATATTTGGGTCCGGGCGCCATTCTGAGCCTGATACATGAGTCTCTTCTGCCACCGAGACACGTCACTTGAGGCTCGGCTTCGCCTCCGGACCATCACCATCACTCGGGCTTTAAATAGTCCAGTCCCGATGAGCCCTCCACATGCCGGGCAAGGTGGTGCCCTGATCGCGCGTTGAGCGAAAACAAGCTTCTGAGGCCTGCCACCTGTGGCTTTCCCGGGCTGTCCTCGATGACATCGGCAAACTTTTCGCCTAGCGGTCATAGCATTGAGTTGCGGGAGGCCCCTTTACCCCAGGCCGTCGATCACACTCACAAATAATATCCCATCTGTAACGTAAAAGTCCGCTGTAGTGGAGGTCTCAGGGGGAAAGAGAAAGACGGTGTAAAGTCGCTGAATACCAGTCGTTGCAATAGCCGACGGCTGACAGTATCGTTCCACCAACCAGCGCCGCAGCGGTGGATGCTCCAGCCACGCCGCAGAGACGGGCTCGCCGACCATTCAGTCGGGACACCCGCGCTGGAAGAATGCGTAGGCGCGCCGGAGGAGGCTGTAAATGGAGCCGAGATCCGGAGTCACGGCACTGCAGCGCGTTAGGGCCTTCACCTATGACCAAAGAGCCGATACCTTGTTCTTCTCGTCCGAGCATTTCTTGAGCGGAATGAAGCGATTGGAGGTCGAAGACGAACACGATGGCGATTTCTAACGCCAAAATTCCTGAGGCTGACAATTTTCATCTCATGTCCGCGGCTGGGAAGCCTGGGAGAGTGGCCGAACTGGATCCGGGCCGTGGATGTTGGTTCGCTGTCCGAGTCAGAAGGTTCAAAAACCCGTGTGGAGAGGGCCCGGTTGCCGCCCCTTCAAGCAGGTGCTAATAAACGAGCGTTGGGCCGATTCATAGGCGCGTAGCCTGTAGGGCAAAGAGGTCGCCAATATTGTTTGATCCCTTCTTCTGTACGGAGTACAATGCAGTCCTCGTGCCAACTGGTAGTGTAGCCACTGGGGCTGATGATGGCTGAGGCTCGGAACTGGCCGCAGGCGTGCTGAGTAGCATCCATATAGCAAGTAGTACCTAGGTAGGTAGGTAGGTAAGTATTTGAATTGGAGCGAGGCGTACGCAGCCGCTCGCTGGTCTGGGGCAAATTCCTTTGTGTCAGCAGTGGTAAAGACGTGCTAGCACCCAGAAGAGTTGAACTGTTCATCCATCCCGTCCACCGCCAGATGTGCTATGCAGCGATGCAAGACGTGGTGGGTGCACCGCCTCAGCCCCAGTCGATCAGCCCCAGCCCAATCTTACTATTTTTGGGTCTCCTCCTGACGGATCCCCGTATCCGAACTGGGCAGAGGCAACAACAAACAAGATGCAGGTAGGAGACAGAAGGTCGAAATCTTGAATCTCTCATCTGGTTGGGGGGTACGTACGCCCACGACGTAAACCTCGGATGGAATTCCGTCTTGTTTGATTGCTACTGCGACAGCAAGTGCGGCGAGTGAGCAGGAATGGCTTCGTCGTGGTCAGGCGAAGCAGAAAAAAAGAGAAGACAACGAGGGAGGGCATGATGGTGACGGACGAGCTCGAGACATTGGGCTGAACGAATGTGGCCTTTGGGCCGTGTGTTGGAAACATGACAGGAAAAGGACGATTGCACCAGGTTCCAGGCCATTGACGAGTAAAAAAATACAGGTCCAAGACGGACGAGCAAGCATGGGCTTGTCGTAGTTGTTCATGTCGTTGTCGACTGGCGGTGCCTGTCCATGACGATGAGTGAGAGAGAAGCTGGCGAAATTTGGCTACCAGCTGGCAAAGCTGGAAAGCCAAGGCGCTGGGTAGGGCGAGGGGCACGTTTCAGAATGTTCGTAGAAGCCGCAAGATCCTGGGCGACAAATGGGCCGTTAAGAGGTACACGCGTCTCACATAGATGTGGATGGTCGTACGAACGGCGCCACTAACAAGCCAATGTCGTTTCTTTGAATGATCGTTGCTTCAGTCAGGGTTCGCCATACGGTGAATACGCCGCCTAGACTCTGCCACTCTGGAGTCTGACGGGACTCCTGAACAGGTGTTGGGGCGGCTGTGGCTCTCTGCTTCTGGGCCTTCCAATTTCATGTCTTTCTTCTGTCAATGCCCTGAGTGATGGGGCCCCTGACAGCCCTCGGCTTGGAACACCCTTGGGAATGCTTGTCAGCTTGCTGGGTTCTGTCTCCCGTCAGCTTTTTTTTCTTGCTCTGTGAGGTGCTTACTAGGTAGCTGCAGCGATCCTGTACGTCCTGACTCTCTCACACTCAGCACTGCAGACTGCAAAGTCTGACGGGCGTTTGAGTCTGACAGCAACGATGAGATGGAAGAGGGGCCGAGGAACGACAATGAGGCGAAAAGTCTGCCGAACATAAGCCACTGTTGCTGTTCCTTCCCGCTGCACTGCTCGTTCCTCTTCCCAATTGGAACCAAGGATGATGGCTGAATTATTGGTGGTGGCACGACAGATGCCGGCAAGGGGACGGCGTTTCTTTTAGCTTTCGCCTTCTCCTTTTCCTTGCCGGCGCGTCCATCCATCGCCGCAACATTCCCCTAAAGGCAGCCCGTCACTGAGCCAGGGACAGGTGTGCTTGGCCGGCTCTGTTCGTTGTTGCCAACTTGCTGGTTCTGTTGCTGTTGCATAGGTGCATAGGTACCCTCCTTCTGCCGAAGAGCATTGCTCAATGCTGGCAGCAAATGGGCGTTGATTGCGAGGTGTTTCTAGAGGTCGATCCCAACCCCAAATGGACCGATTGAAGGTGCAAGGCCAAGGGGTATACGAAATGCAAGGGCCAAGGGAGCAACGGCCGGGGGTTTCGGCTTGGGGGATGCGTGACGTAGTTGGATGCGGGCCCGATTTTTATTTTCCCAAGAGTGCAACCTTCGGAGACGTCGAGGGTGGAAGTGCGATTCGACTGGTTGCCGGCCAGCTCGTGATGAGCATCGGCGCGGTTCTTGTCTTGGTTTGCTGCACTGCTGCTGGCTGGTTAGCAATGGCTAGCGACAGCAACCGCGACCATCCGACCAGGTTGCTAGGATCCATCATGAAAGAACCTGACAGAGGGAAGAAAAAGATGGAGGGACAGGGTTGGCGACGGTCCACGGCATTGGCTTTCCTGGCTGGCACACGACTGGGACCAGGACCACCTGCTGGCCTGGGGATGAGACTGATGCCAACATTGCCAGCCCTTCCCAGCCAGTCCGTCCGTTGTCTGTCACTTGCGCAGTAGTGCACTGACGTTGAGGTCTCCGAGAGGTGAGGTGAGGTTAAGTGATGGGTGTGCTGCGTACACAGTAAGGGTTGCCCTTCGATCCGTATCAAGGAGAGGTCTTGCTTGCGTCAATGGCCCCTTGGATGTCCATGGGTATGCCGACTCCGGGAGACGGGATGATGATGCTGGTGCTGGTACTGGTGCCTTTGCTCGGTTTGTGTTGTTCTGTTGTTCATCGTGCAGCAACGCGATGCCTGGGCTAAGCAGCGCTAAGCCACAGCTTCCCCAGTCTGTTGACGTGAGGTGAGAATATGGAGCAAGCTAATGAAAGGGGACCAGAAAAAAAAGAGAGAGACGCGAGGTACCTTACCTTCATTTTGCTGCAGATTATGGAGCAAGGTACCTTGGTTTTCTGTGTCTACGGTGCCTTGGCTCAAGGTGCAGGAGGGAGAAAGAACGAACGGCAATAAGGTACTCCGTACAGCACAACATACGTAGCTAAGGCAGGTAAGTAAGGTAGGTAGGTACGAATATTCATAGTCGGGAAGGAGGAAAGCAACACCTAGTCTCATCTCGTCGTTTGTACCTCGTCTCGAGGAAGCAGGCCGGGGAGGGATGCAAAAGTGACTTCTCCTATTCTCATGCCGCACCATCTCAATGTACCTTTTGTCCTTGAATTTGGTCTCTCTCTCTCTCTCTCTCTGCACTGCTGCAGCAACGGAAAGAAAACTGTCTGCTCGCTGCCGAGTCCCCATCCTCATCTTCGCCCACCTCAGCCCAGTCGGGCCAATCCTAGAGCTATTCTCATCCATCCTTACTACCTCAGCCATCCTCTCCACCTGGCGCTTGCACGCTCGCTCTCACCACCCAGCTGCAAGTTTCTGGTTCCCACCAAGCAAGGCCGCCAGCCCATCAGGACCCTTTTTTAACCATTTACTGCCCCATCCTGCATCATCACCCTCTCCCCTTCTACTCCTCCTACCCCCAGCCCTCCATCCATCCTCACCTCTTTCTCTTTTTTTTCCCTCCTTCGCTTCACCAATCGTTACTGGGGTTGTGGCTTTCTCGGCCGCACATCTCTCTAACCTACTGCGTCTTTGTTCGCGCTCAACGCGTGACACAACCAACCCGACCTAGGCTTCTCTGCTCGAGTCCCTCGGCTGACGATATAATCAACCCTACCTAATCCCACCCTCAACGAAGCAGGAAAAAACCCTTCACATCGTTCATCGCATCCATACTAGCATCAGCTACTTCTGAACTCGCCTCTAGTAATCATGGCGTACCGCGGGGGGCATGAAAACGATTATGATGGCGGCCACAATATGCAGGACCTTCCGCCTGGATCTGGCAGAGGAGTAAGCTTCACCTCGCGCAAAGTAGTCTCAATTGCTAACCTGACCCTTCTGCCCAGTACCACCTGCCACCTCAAGATGAGGGAGTTGACGAAGCCGGCCAATCACTTCTGAGAGACCCTCACGCACCTGCTCCCTACGAGAGCCACCTCGGAACTGGCGAGACCCCTGGCCGCCCAGTCTCCGCATACAGTCTCACAGAATCATACGCTCCTGGTGCCGGAGCTCGGACACCAGTTCCTGGCGAGACAGCTTTCGCTTCTGGCTACAGCAATGAGCTCGACTCGGATGCTGGTGGTTTTGGCTACGGGAACAGACCTCCCTCCACCGTGGACGCCGACGAGAGCTGGACCCGCAGACAGCAGCCCGGTAACCAAGGTGGCGGTCTGAAGCGTTACGCGACCCGTAAGATCAAGCTTACTCAGGGTTCCGTCCTGAGCATCGACTACCCGGTTCCCAGTGCCATCAAGAACGCTGTCCAGCCAAAGTACCGCGATGTCGAGGGCGGCAGCGAAGAGTTTATGAAGATGCGCTACACCGCCGCCACCTGCGATCCCAATGACTTCACCCTCAAGAACGGTTACGATTTGCGCCCGAGAATGTATAACCGACACACCGAGCTCCTCATCGCAATTACCTACTACAACGAAGATAAGGTGTTGCTCTCCAGAACTCTTCACGGTGTCATGCAGAACATTCGCGACATTGTCAACCTGAAGAAGTCCACCTTCTGGAACAAGGGCGGCCCGGCCTGGCAAAAGATTGTCGTCTGTCTGGTTTTCGACGGTATCGAAAAGACCGACAAGGCCGTGTTGGACGTTCTCGCAACCGTCGGTATCTACCAGGATGGTGTCGTGAAGAAGGATGTCGACGGAAAGGAGACGCTCGCTCACATCTTCGAGTACACCTCTCAGTTGTCCGTTACACCTAATCAGCAACTTATCCGTCCTGTTGACGACGGCCCTTCTACTCTCCCCCCCGTGCAGTTCATTTTCTGCCTGAAGCAGAAGAACAGCAAGAAGATCAACTCTCATAGATGGCTTTTCAACGCCTTTGGCCGCATCTTGAACCCCGAAGTCTGCATTCTCATCGATGCCGGTACCAAGCCCAGTCCTCGCTCGCTGCTCGCGCTTTGGGAGGGCTTCTACAACGACAAGGATCTCGGTGGTGCTTGTGGTGAGATTCACGCCATGTTGGGCAAAGGTGGCAAGAAGCTGCTTAACCCCCTGGTTGCTGTCCAAAACTTCGAGTACAAGATTTCCAACATCTTGGACAAGCCTCTTGAGAGCTCTTTCGGATACGTCTCTGTGTTGCCCGGTGCTTTCTCCGCCTACCGCTTCCGTGCGATCATGGGTCGCCCGCTGGAGCAGTACTTCCACGGTGATCACACTCTTTCCAAGATCCTTGGTAAGAAGGGTATCGACGGCATGAACATTTTCAAGAAGAACATGTTCTTGGCCGAGGATCGTATTCTTTGCTTCGAGCTGGTCGCCAAGGCCGGTCAAAAGTGGCACTTGTCGTACATCAAGGCCGCCAAGGGTGAGACCGATGTTCCCGAGGGCGCTGCCGAGTTCATCTCTCAACGTCGTCGTTGGCTCAACGGTTCCTTCGCTGCCTCTCTGTACTCTCTCATGCACTTTGGTCGCATGTACAAGTCCGGCCACAACATCATCCGCATGTTCTTCTTCCACGTTCAGCTCATCTACAACATCCTCCAGGTTATGTTTACATGGTTCAGTTTGGGTTCTTACTACCTGACTACAACGGTTATCATGGATCTTGTCGGTACCGCTGTCACCTCCGACGACCCCGATGTGGCCCGCAGCGGTTGGCCCTTCGGAGACACTGCCACTCCTATCGTCAACGCTCTTCTCAAGTACCTCTACTTGGCCTTCGTTATTCTGCAGTTCATCTTGGCCTTGGGTAACAGACCCAAGGGTTCCAAGTACACCTACATTGCCTCTTTCGTCGTCTTCGGTCTGATCCAATCCTACATCCTGGTCCTTTCGATGTACTTGGTCGTTCAAGCCTTCCAGAAACCCATCGGCGAGCAGATCAACCTCGACTCCGGCGAGGACTTTGTCGCCAGTTTCTTCGGAGGTACAAACGCAGCCGGTGTCATTCTCGTTGCTTTGGTTACTATCTACGGCCTTAACTTCATCGCTTCCTTCATGTACCTCGACCCCTGGCACATGTTCACCTCCTTCCCTCACTACCTGGTGCTCATGTCAACCTACATCAACATTCTGATGGTCTACGCCTTCAACAACTGGCACGATGTGTCTTGGGGTACAAAGGGTTCAGACAGTAGCGAGGCTCTGCCTTCCGCACACGTTACGAAGGGCGAGAAGGATGAAGCTGTGGTAGAAGAAATCGACAAGCCGCAAGAAGATATCGACAGTCAATTCGAATCGACGGTGAAGCGTGCGCTGGAACCTTTCAAGGAAGCTCCAGAGAACGAGAAGCCGGACATCGAAGACTCGTACAAGTCTTTCCGTACCGGTCTGGTCGTGTCTTGGCTTTTCTCCAACACCTTCCTCATTATCGTCATTACGAGTGATAACTTCAACTCGTTCGGCATTGGCGTAAGTACAAATGTCACAAAATACGTGTTGACTACCAAGCTAACTCTCATTCCTAGAAAACTGCATCAGCACGTACTGCTTCCTACTTCAGCTTCTTGCTGTACTCTACTGCCGTTCTGTCACTGGTCCGTTTCTTCGGATTCTTGTGGTTCTTGGGCAGGACCGGTATCATGTGCTGCTTTGCCAGACGGTAAACAGACACAAAGGGGAGATTATCCAGACAGGCGCCGAATATCTCGAAGCATGTTGGATGTGTATCAGAGGGAAGACTGTACTCTTGCCAGCTTTGGCTCATTGCTACGAATCTGCCGGTGTTTTTACATTCTGGGTATGTGTCAAGTAATGAAGGACACGGGACTCAGCAGATTCTTGATGAAGTGGGCAGAAGCTCAGTAAAAGTAGTTTCGATTAAGCAGCATTCATGGCGTTTTACATGGATACAATACCTTACGCTTAGTATCAGACAATGACAATGACTTCAACTTTATCTTTCTAGTTTACAACGAAGGATAGCCAGAGACACGATGATCGAAATGGAAAACATTTGATTTCACAGACTTGTGGCTGGTGACCGAGCGGTAAACGGGAAGAAAAGAAGCTTCCGCCCAACTTTGGAGGCTGCATGTAAGCGCGCGGGTATTTGCCGATCAGGGTACATGAGTGTTGGGTTTTCGGAAAGACCCTCTGTTTCTCCATACGCAGCCTGAGATCATTTTCGTCCTTTCATATCTTCACCTGTTCAGACCGGTGTTGTTCAACGACTCGGACCGGAGGCAAGAGGCAAGCTGACGTGAGTGGCTCCAGATCGGTAGATCTTCGGGTAAACAGTGCCCCGACCCTATCTTATCGCAACCAGAAAGTGACCGCATTGACTGGTGCCCAGTTGGTCCGCTCCTCCAGGCACCTTTCCGCCCCAAGATCGCAAGACTCCGGACAGAGACGACTATACTTTGCTGTTGTTTGACTGCTTGGTCTCCGCGCAAACACCACTACTCCAGGAAATTACATCATCCCCACCGGTTGTGTGCGTGCCTTTGTTTTACACCTCGCCATTCCCACAGAGTGCCCCACCAACTCCTCCCAGCAGACACCCCGCCAGAGATCGGACAAGATGCTAAAGATTTGGTCTATGGTAAGAGATCACCGGAATCTTTCGGCAAAGAAGACTACTGACGTCTCTTACAGAAGAAGGAGCAGCAGAAGGCTGAAAATGCCGACGCTGCGGGCGGCAAGAAGAAGAAGGTGACTGCCGCGCAACTTCGTGTGCAGAAAGGTCTGAACCCCTCAGCCAGCCAAGGAGAAAAAACCACGATCTCGCTGCTGATGCTTGCTAACAGATCTCTCGGAACTCTCTCTCGGATCAACGATGAAGACCGACTTTCCTGACGCCGACGACATTCTTCACTTCACGCTTACGATCGAGCCCGATGAGGGCATGTACCGGACCGGCCGATTCACCTTCACATTCGACATCAACCAAAACTTCCCCCACGAGCCGCCGAAAGTCCGATGCAAGGAAAAGATCTACCACCCTAATATTGACCTGGAGGGCAAGGTGTGCCTGAACATTCTCCGCGAAGACTGGAAGCCCGTCCTTAACTTGAATGCGGTCATTGTCGGACTCCAGGTATGTTCAAGAGTAGTAAGCACGGTTGTGGGTGGGCGCCGGCTAACCGACCTCTTTTATAGTTCTTGTTCCTCGAGCCGAACGCCTCTGATCCTCTGAATAAGGAGGCCGCCGAAGATCTTAGACTCAACCGTGAGGGATTCAAGCGCAACGTCCGGACCGCGATGGGCGGTGGCACTGTCAAAGGACAGACTTACGACCGTGTGTTGAAATAGGATCTACAACAGCAAGGGGATCGCTTCCTTCTCGCTGCTGAATTTTCTCCAACGACATAACTCTTTGGCGAGACAAGAGGCCAGCCCGGATTTGATACCAGAGACGGACGGGCAGGCCGATGGTTCGCAGAAGGGTGGAGTGCGCATTTGAGGGGTCGGTGGGCATCAAAAGCAAGCATCGTCGTCAGGCGTTTGGGGAGACAAGATTACAAATTACAAGAGCTCAAGGATATGGCAAGACATCGAGCCCAGTTTAGAGATAGCACTAGCGAGAGCGCAGCACAGGAGGGGTCATTGACGCGCTCTGAAGAGTGGAAGTCAAGCGGGAGACGAAGGTGTAGTGACTAGTGGGAAGAAGTGATGAGCTTCAAGAGATCGTAGAAGCATAAGGTAGCTGGAATGCAAACAGCGTTGCCGTGTCACGGCAGAAGAAGAAGAAGCAAACATGGAGAATGGAAGCCAATCAACGGGCCGATTGACTCCCCCATAACGGTATCCGTACTCCGCACAAGCAAGTTGGAAGAAAGAGTCAGAGCTCCTCGAGAGAGGAGTCACAGCATCTCAGGGCCGGCGACCGGTCAGCAGCTGTGAAGAGAGGCCGAAGGTATAGGTAAACGGCCGTAGCCGGCGCCCCAGTAGTCGGTGAGATTCCGCCTGCGGCCCATCTGGTGTGACTCCTGTCTGGCCACTGGGCTACGATGTCGGTGTGGTGGGCTCTCCCCTGCTCCACAGCACCCGCCTCGCCGGCAATAACGTTGATTGCTCCCCGAGGTTCTTAGGTAAGGCCGCTGTCAAATGAGAACCGGACCAAGTAGATGTTACCCGCTGGGCCCAGCAAACTCCCGGCCGTCTCCAAAGTCCCCAGTACCCGCTCTCCCACTTGGAGAGCCCCCTACCGAACCCCGGACGCTTCCAGACGTCTTCCCCACCATGGGCACAGGCCAGCAGCAGGACGACGCAGCAGGCTAACCCACCAACGACCAAGCTGGGCCGAAGTCGGGGGTCAGCTCGCCCGTCTCTACGCCAGTAAAAAATTTCCCAATTCCAAACGCCTTTTTCCCATCAGTGAAACTCTGTTTTCTTCATCCATCTCTTCCTTCTTCTTCCTTACAATTGACTTGTACGGATACCCTCTCCACTCCCTCCTCCCCCAACACACAGTCACAATGGCCTCCCGCAGCTTCTCCAAGGCGCTTCGTTCGCCAATGGCCCGCCAGTTGGCGGCCAAGCCTGCCACCCAGCAGCGCACCTTCGTTGCTGCCCGCCAGCTCGTCCGCGCCTCTGCCCAGGTCAACAAGGCCTTCGTCGCTCCTGCCCAGCAGCAGGCTCGCGGTGTCAAGACCATGGACTTCGCCGGCCACAAGGAGGACGTCTACGGTAAGGAAAACGATGAGAGCTGACGAGTCCTTTGCTTTACTCCCTTGCGAATGACTCGCCAGAGAAAACCAGAGGGAGAGATTTGCTGACGTTGATGCCACAGAGCGTGCCGACTGGCCCCAGGAGAAGCTTCTTGTGAGTCACAAACAATCATGGAAGCTTGGGAAGGAGTCAATTGGAACTGACAATCGTCTGTAGGAGTACTTCAAGGACGACACCCTCGCCCTCATCGGCTACGGCTCCCAGGGTCACGGCCAGGGTCTTAACCTCCGTGACAACGGCCTCAATGTCATCATTGGTGTCCGAAAGAACGGCCAGTCCTGGAAGGACGCCCAGCAGGACGGCTGGGTTCCCGGCAAGAACCTGTTCGATGTCGATGAGGCCATCACCCGCGGTACCATCGTCATGAACCTTCTCTCCGACGCCGCTCAGTCCGAGACCTGGCCCGCCATCAAGCCCCAGCTCGTCAAGGGCAAGGTGCGTCATTTCTCGCTCAATTGAACAGGTCAATTGGAGCTTCAAAGCTGACTTTCGATTTAGACCCTCTACTTCTCCCACGGCTTCTCCCCCGTCTTCAAGGACGTCACCCACGTCGACGTCCCCAAGGACATTGACGTCATCCTCGTCGCCCCCAAGGGCTCTGGCCGTACCGTCCGCTCCCTCTTCCGTGAGGGCCGTGGTATCAACTCCTCTTTCGCCGTCTTCCAGGACGTCACTGGCAAGGCCAAGGAGAAGGCCCAGGCTCTCGGTGTCGCCATCGGCTCCGGCTACCTCTACGAGACCACCTTCGAGAAGGAGGTCTACTCCGACCTGTACGGCGAGCGTGGCTGCCTCATGGGCGGTATCCACGGCATGTTCCTCGCTCAGTACGAGGTTCTCCGCGAGCGCGGCCACTCCCCCAGCGAGGCCTTCAACGAGACCGTCGAGGAGGCTACCCAGTCCCTGTACCCCCTGATCGGTGCCAACGGCATGGACTGGATGTACGAGGCCTGCTCCACCACCGCCCGCCGCGGTGCCATCGACTGGTCCCCCAAGTTCAAGGACGCCCTTAAGCCCGTCTTCAACAGCCTGTACGACGCCGTCAAGGATGGTTCCGAGACCAAGCGCTCCCTGGAGTACAACTCCCAGAAGGACTACCGCCAGAAGTTCGAGGCTGAGATGGAGGAGATCCGCAACCTTGAGATCTGGAGAGCCGGCAGAGCCGTCCGGTACGTTTTAACAACACTTCACTCTATTCACCATGATGATCACTGGCTAACATTTATCTTTACTACAGCTCTCTGCGTCCCGAGAACCAGAAGTAAGCGGTTCGGCGTTTTTGCTTTGGGAGAAGATGAAAAATTTACTCGGAATGGCCATTTCCTAACCACTGTGCCGGGGACGGGGGACTTTTGTACTTTATACGACCGGATTCTAGGGGATCTGGGCCTGGTTCAAAAGTTTGCATCTTGACTTTTGGGATCCTTCAATACCATTTCTTTTGCTGTCCATGAACACATTGCTTCAACTCATCTCGTCTTTTTCGTCAGTTGTCCCAGCTGCGTGATTGTGCAAATGTCTGTGCCTGCTTCCCGGAGATGTCGGGTCATGCAGGGGCCCAATTGGGACTGACTCGTCAGGCCCGTTGATACTTTTCACAGATCGCGCTAGCTGCTGCTGGACCAGAACCAAATTGGCACCCCCACGCCAGCGGTAGTTTCTTTGACTTTTGAGGACATTTGCTGACAATGCAGCGGCGGTGTGGTGTTGCATGCGCATCCAAGTTTCATGGTGATGTAGAGTCCACGGTCAGGACTCTAGCCTCCGATGCTCGCTGAGGTTCGATTCTCGAGGAACAGCTCGGTAAAGGTGAGTGCTTATCGATTGGATGCACTTGTGAGTATCATTTGATGAGCTGAAGAAATTGACTCCCCTTTCCCATCTCACGGTGGGAAATGAGGCGGTCTCTATCCCTTAGCTAATGGCGCGTTCAGTCGTGCGAGACGAGCACTATCCTTGCTTAGATATGAAGGCACCGATTCACACGTATAAATACTATTATCTACCTTGCCTAGTTCATGATTTTCATCTCGACCCTCGCGTTTGTGCTGCACTTTCACATGCGTCCCAATTGACCAGTTTCCTGCATCGCACAGGCGATGCCCTTCCGAAACTCTGAAAGCCTAACGTGCAATGTCGGAGCTAGGGCACTGCAACTTCCAAGGTCTAGCTGGAGAGAGGGTCATAGCTGAAATGATTTTGGGTGTTATATCAGGCTCCCTAGAGTTGGAAAGCTTCACCCCAACGTGTTGCGTGCATCTTCAAGAAAAGACGACTTGAGCTACCCGAGGATAGAGGCCAGCCTCACCTTGCGCGCCATCGGTGACCTCGGTGAAGGCCTTCGGTGTGTGAATTTGCTGTAGCGACCCTGAGCCCCACCAACCCCCTTTGTCTGTGCATCCTCTCGGTAGTCGTTGCTCTGTCAACAGCAAACAAGCCTGGGCCCCTTTGCACCCCCTTCATCTCACAAGCGAGCCCAAAATGGGGTTTTGCTAGACATCCTATCGAAATATCAATCAATTGACGATTTACCTCACCTTAGTTTCCGCGCTTCCAACGCTTGCAAACCAAACGAAACCATTTCTAGCTTTCTGGAGTTCGCGCACAATGACGCCGTTGTCACTGACAAACGAATCAAGACTGAACACTGCAACGACCCTGACTGAAAACGCAACGAGCCGCGGTTTCTTTGAGCACTGCGAGGTGGTCCACTCCCGCACTGAGACAACCACGAACGGCGGTAATGAGAGCGGCAGCGAAAGCTCCTTCACCACCACAACCACAACCAACACCGCAATCACCTCTTCGCACTCTGTAGACGACAACGCTCGAGACCAGGAGAACATGCCACCTTCTCCCTCGGATTCCTCGCCGTCGCCGCCGCTCTCTGCGCCGGCGACGGCAATCAAGCCGCAGCGCCACTCACGCGTCATGTCTGGCACCGCACCCTCACCGCTCAAGCTACTCGCCGGCTCCGAGACATCGGAAAAGCAAGCGCGGAGCCCGCTTCGCAAGACAGTAATCTCTCCCGACGCGGTCAAACGCTTCCCTATCAGAGTCAGCAACCCGTCCGCCGAGCCTTCGTCACGTTCCATCTCTCCTCCGACCGTCTCTCCTCCGCCTCGCGAACGTACAATCAGTTTGGAAGACGCCATGCGCGACAACGAGGGACTGAAGCACGCCATCCAGATCTTTGAGGACGACGATACGGAGCTGGAGAATGACGAGACCATTGGCGGCGACACGACTACAATGAGCGCGGGCGAGGGCGAGGCAGAACACCACGACTTGGGCCACGCGGGTTACGAGGACCAGAGCAGTCTCGCCAATCCCGACGAGTCAATGATGAGCGCCTTCAGTACCTTCTCCGCCGTTCCCAATCTGACCATGTTCGCGAAACTCGGCCAGTCTCCCACAAAGTACGCGAGCATCGGCGGCATGACCCCGCGAGGGAGGCCAGAGACCGTGCACGAGCAGCAGGAGACTCCGAGGCGACATTCGGGACAGGACTCTGATGGTAACACTACCAACCTGTTGGATTTCACGGCCAGCCAGCGGTTCCCGCACAAATCGCCGTCCAGGCGGGGCAACACCTCACCTTCCAGAGCAAACCCTAATGCCACTCCGGCCCGCCAAATGTCGAACCTCCTCGACTTTGACATTCCCGCGCTACCTACTCCCCGCAGCATCCCGACCATTACACCCAGAGAACTCGAGAGTCTAAAGTCGAATTTTCTGTCCGAAATTAGCAGCCTAAAGGCATCGCTACTTGGCAAGGAGGCCG